TGCTGAGGTCTTATTAGACAAAAGACCTGAAGAGATGCTGTGGACATCATGTCCTAAGTTATCAGTTTGAAAACAAGTATAAACCCTATGACTCTCAGCAGCCTTTGAAAGGGAGACAGGGAGAGCAGATACTGGAAAAAGAACTACTGCAAAGAGCCAAGGAACAGCAACTGTCCAAAAGAGTTGTGAACCTAAGGTTAAGCAAATGCATTTTTCTTACTGCTTCCCCATGCTGCATGTTGCTGTACAAGTTGCTCGGCTAGAAAACAGTCTTTTTTATTGACTCTCATTTCCTACGGACAACAATACTGGCCATTTTTTTTTTCTTTCTTTCTAAAATCCTTTGGAAAAAAACTAAGGCTCTGTAAAATGTTGGATATGTGGAAATCCCTTGGCCTAAACTGTCTTGAATGTGGAGTTCAGCAAACATTCGGGTTTGTTTATAAGGCTGGCATATAAGGCTGTTCTCTTACAAGGCATTCAAATGAGGAATAATGAAGCTGATAGAGTGCTAAGAATACACAAACGCTATTTGCTTTGTAAAGCTGTATATGGAATCCAATAATGAGTCCTGGGATACAGGACAGTCTATCACTGTAAAGTAATTATTTGTTGACTGCTGAGCCAGCTGGGTTGAATTTGCTTCTCGGAGTGTTCAGAATGCCAAAGCACCTTTAAATCTCAGCCTTTAGTTTAGATTAGACATGTTAAATGACAGCACATATTTTATTTCTTACACTGTCTTAATCTCCTGATGCTAAAAGGAAAGTCTTGTTGAGACAGTATAGAACAAGGTAAGTTAGAGAGTGAATAAAGAAAGGTTTTGGTTTTTTTTACCAATTACTTTTCTTTTAAAATGCTCTCAGAGATGGTAAAAGCTATGACTACAAGCTATGTCTTGGGACTTTGAGGTCTGATTCTGCCCATGTGGAAACAGAAAAAGTACATATATTAATGTAAAAGAAAGGTTAAGACTGTATGAAAAGAAAAGCTTCTCTGGATGGAGGTAGCATGTGTGTCTGGGATGTGCTGCTGAGCATCTGTGTGTAGTTTTACTTGGGCTTATAGCACATGACGTCACTTCTCCCCAGACCACCCTGGGGTGCACAAGAAGGGCTTAGCAAATCAGTTGCAGTGCAAAGGATAAAGATGCGTTGGTCTCCTGAGATCTTGTCCATTGCTTCAGGCAAAAGCCACAATGCCACAGCCTGCCTTTTACGGCCTGCCTCACAGAATTACATCTGCTAACCTAATTCTGGAAGCAGCAATTAATTCCAGAGGCAACCCTCATCTGGTAGCATTGGGAGCCACGCTAGTGTTACCAGTGCCTCCTGTGCAGTCGTCTCTGGCCTTCTGTGGCCACCTAGAGGAGGTTGTGCTTGACATTGCTCTGCCCTGCGTGGAAGTGTGTGAGTTTTACATCCTGCTTTTACTCAAAGGGAAACCTTAGAAAGGCACTTGAAGATCTCGTATCTGATGTCCAGAGAAGTCCCATGTCTTGTTTTGCTACTGCTCAGAGCTAAGGAATCAAAACCCTGCGTGTTGAACCCTGCAGAAAGGGACAAAGAAGAGCACAGGGAGAAGATCAGCAAAAGACAGCTGAACAGGATGGATGGAGGATCAGGCCTGGCAAAGGTTCTTGGGAGCATAAAACTGTAAATGTCCATCTTTTTTTGAGCCTAATCCATATATTTCCTACGGCATGTGGGAGTGCTTGAAACCTCAGCTTCCGCCCCAAACTGGCCTGAGCAGGTAACTATCCAACATCAGCACATCTAGGAACCAGCCAGCATGGAAATCCTGGAGTGAGGTAATCTTATCCACTCACACCTCATAAAGCCTTGCAGCAACCTATCTATCAGAGAAATCCAAATCCAGATTTAACGATCCAGAACCTTGTTGTGAAGGTCAGCATTTGTGACATTTAATTTTTAATTATTATCCCAAAGAACTGAGGAGGCCCCATGCTTTCTTGTTAAAACCCATCTGGAAAAACAGACAGTAAGAAGAGCAGCAGTAACACTGCTTGGATGATAGACACAGGAAAAAGGGAGCATCTGTAGGTGTCAGGCAGGTTATTTCAATCCAAGTACATGCCAGGAAACAGGAGAGAGCTGTGACTCCCTGTGGCACAGCCCCAGCAGCCTTTATTCCCTGCAGGGCTGCCTGGAGAAGGCCAGGAACCTCAGGTGAAAGGAGGATTTTTTTTGTTGGTGGGGTTTTTTTTGTTGTTTTTTTTTTTTTTTTTGGTTAGTTGGGTTTTTTTGAGTTTTTTTGTTTTTGTTTTTGTTTTTTTCCCCCTTGAAGGAGGGGGACTGGTGGTTTGCTTTTTTTTGTGTGTGTGTGTGTGTGTTTTTTTCTTTTTCTTTTCTTAGTGAAATAAAAGCAGAAAGGATTTACACTTAACTCCCCTTTTTTTGCCAGACATTTCTGATTGACTTTATACCAATTTTTTCTTCTCTTTTTTTTTTTTTTTCAATGAATGAAAGTTAACCTGCATATATGCAAGGTGTTTATAAGGGATAATATCTGAATGAATTACCCTCTGACTCCTTGTGAGATTCTTGATATCTCTGTGACTGAGTATTTAGGCCAGAACAGAGCTCAGAACTGACCAATACCTGATGCTCCAAGTATTTTCATGTTAAGAAAGTCTGAGGGATTGCTTTTCAGTTTGTTTTTTTCTCTGAAGTTCCTTACTTTCAACACACATCCATAAGGGGGAAGACAAAAAATTTTTAAGATGTTGCAACACACTTTATTTTGTCAGGCAAATAGCATTTTAGATATTCAATTAAATAGCAGTATGTTAAACTACATTTTGTTCTTTCTTACACACTATATGATGCATATTCACTGTAATGACAGTTTCATCATGCTAGGAACTTATACACATACCTACACTTTTAAAAACCAGATTTTCTTAATAAAACACACATATCTACAGTAACAACAATTGCAAAGAACACACTGTTAGGTCAAGATTTCAGCAAACTTTACAAACTACACAAAATAAAAATAGCAAAAAAATATCAGTACACGGTGAAGTTCTTAGCAGAGAACATATCTTTACATTTGGTGAAGTTATGCCTAGAAGTCATTTTTGCTTTTGTATTTTTTTTAAGGAATAAAATTATATACATTATTTAGTAATCCTCAAAATAGGAAGTATTAAATAGCACAAATAATATTACAGTCTTAAGTTTTGGTGTTACCTACAGTAGAGGGGCTACTTTAAAACAAATAAAAATTGCAGTTTGTCTATTCTGTACATTTAGGGCCAAACCCTCAGCTGGTATCAACCACAGTAGCTAAATGGACAGCAAGGAAGTTACATTAGTTTATACCAGCTGAGCATCTGGCTCCTGACTACTCTATACATGGGGGAAGGCTCCTAAAGCATGGGAGCTTGGACCGGTTACGCACTGACAGAAGCTTATTTTATATATATATATACTGACGTTCTCATGCAGCAGGAAAAATGTTAGCTTAAGTATAATCCCTTAAACAGTCATACCATAATAATGGTATATGAAGCAGCTTTAAAAATATTATTTTATAATCTTATGAAACTGAGCTATGCTGATTGTTTTAATGGAATCCCTTATTGCCAATATTCTATTAGAAAACAGTGTAACTGTAATTTCTGAGGCCTAATGGGGGTCTATTAAACTATCACTGTACCTAACCACTTACGGGGCAAATTGTACCCTTAAATACCTATTAATCACTGTATTCCATCTGGAAGCAATTATGAGCCTCACAATAGACATTAGTATCACACCAACTCTGCAGTGAATCTGCTGGGAAAATAGGAAGAGCATGGCAGCATACAGAGAATATGCACTAGTGTCATTCCAGGAGGTAGTTCTATTTCAGGGCACTCGATTTTTGGTTTGTCACTTACACACTTCAGAAGTCAGTCATCCTTAGGAAAAAAAAAAAATTAAAAAGAAAGCAGTGTGCTGCATTGAAAGTCAGCTGGCAAAAAAAAAGCCCAAACAAACCCTTATTTTCCCTTACCCATTTCAGGTTATTTTGTTTTTGTTTTTGTTGTTTTGTTTTTTTCTCCAGAGTCTGCTTTGCCAGGTCTTGGGGCCAAATCCAAGCTTGCTGAGGCCAAAGAGAAAGTTTCCTGACAATTTCCATAAGAAGGTCCTTAGTTACCAGTGGCTAAATATTGCTGAAATGTGCATTTAGGCCTTGATTAAGGAAAGCACTTAATTAGATGGCAGTATATGTGCAGGCTGGCACTGCCATGTTTTTTGATGCAAGCAATAAGCCCATGAATTAAATTCAAAGGACTTCCATCAGCATCAAAGGGATGTAGAGACAATGTTTAAGTGGTTAGATCAGGGCCCATTTCCCAGCTATTCTGCATCAGGTGGTGACAAAGTGACATATCTAATTGATACCAGGTAAATACCAGCGTTACCTCCATTACCAGATCCTTGGGCACAAAATCCCATGCTTTGTAGAGTTACGCACAGAGTATTCTAATAGATGTAGAATTTTAACTTAACATAGCTCAGTTTTGAGCTGAACATCAGTTTGTATTTTTGAATAGTATCATAAATAATCATAATTTTTCTAAGGTACTCATTCATTTTTAATGTTTCAAACAGACACAGTGGCTTCCAGAACACTCTTACACAGTAAAATGATTAATGATTTGTCCCTGTTTTTTGGCATTAGTGTTGCTAAAAAAAAAAAAAAAAAAAAAAAAGGTGATTGTTTTTCCTAGGATGGCTTGATGCACATTCACCCAAGTTTTAACAAAACTTACTTCATTAGACCTGACAGCTCAGCTGCTTCTTAAACAAACGATTTCTGTTTGAACATGACTCTCAAGTCCTATTTTTGGTTTTTGACCCAAACCCATTTTTCAGTTTTATTTTTCCTCTCATTCTTTTTTTTTCTTTTTTTTTTCTTTTCCTGATCTGCTTTTCAGCAGTGAACTGAAAGTAGGAAGAAATAGGGAAAATAAGATGGAAAAGAAAAAGGGTACAAAGACTGGAAAATGGGAATGGTTTAATTAAAAAATTCTACTTAAAATATTTGCAACTTTGAGAAAACAGTTGAAAAAATAATGTTTTAAAATTTTCAAAGATACTTATGACTTGTTTCCACATTGCAGAACCAGCTCCAATTTAATCATGGAACAGAATAAAAATAATCTATGATTTTCATTTCTGAGTAAACACTAGACAGTATACCTACATTCTGTCCTTTGCAAAAAATTGGAGTGTAATCTGTTTGAAAAATAGCTAAAATACCCAAGTCACTTAGGTGTTTTTCAAAATTCTGTGTATAATGAACATTCTCTTGTTACCTTTGTGCTGCTTATAAAGCTATGTAGTGTTATAGGACACCTTATTTTAATAAAAATCAATATGAGCAGAGATATTTTAAGTTACATTCCAGAACTCATTAATTTATTACAACTCGTACTATGCACAATAATCAGTGCTTCTTTTGATAAAGTATAAATTCTCTGTTTTTCTTCTATTTGTTCCTTCATTTGACCTCTGAATGAATGAAACATTTCTACTACACTTTACTTGCTTCTTATCAGCATGCATTCACATGATTTGGACAATGAGTGAAAGCTGTAAACCCAATATTGAGCAGTAAACAAGAAGAAACTCATGTTCTTAAATGCAGTGCAAGGAAATCCTAGTACCATCCTACTCTGAGCATACATCTTAACCCAGATTCTTTCACCACTAGTTGGTCTAGTTGGTACAGTTCCAGAGGTGCAAGTTAATTGTGTAAAAATTTCTACTCAGCTGTAATTGAATACTGAGATGTTACAGGTGAATCTGGTTTAAGATGAATACCCAGAGCCCAGCCTAGTGTCAAGAAGCATCTAGGAAAGAAAATGCTCTAAGTTATTTTCTTTAGATAAGTTACACTGCATTTTATTGGGAGAGAGATCTTTTCCAAGGCTTGTTGGCTTTTCATTTAATTTTTTTATCGTATTTGCTCAAATTTGTTCTCAACAGACAAATATAAACCCCCTACAGTGAGGACAAAGACACCTATTACTACAAAATAAAATTAAGATCCAGGTAATTGATTCCTTCTATTTCTACTTTTCCTGCTATTGATGAGGGCCTTCAGTTTGCTGTAGTCCCCTCTCATCTTCTGGGATTCTTCCCTCTGCTGACCTGGCTGTCTGCTGTCTTTGCAGTACTGGTTAATCATCTGCATCTCCGAGTGGCTGAAAGCTCCCACAAAGTCCTTTGGGTGGAACTGCAGCGCTCGGACTGAGCTGGCCCAGGTCCAAGGGGACCACTTGTCAGTCATGACGGCCACCATCTCTGAATCCAACACCTTGAAGTTGATCTTTGCCAAGGTCTGCTTGAAGCTGTTCTCCGTGGCGATGCAGTGGTAAAGCCCCCGGTCGCTGTCCTGCACAGAGCGGATGAGGAGTCCTTGCTCAGTAGCTATGATCCTCTCATTCAGCTTGACCTGAAGAGCAGAAAGGCAGAAGGAACTTTTTAGGGAATGTTACGAACAATACAGTATTGGACATTTCGGTAAGCGTCACTTCAAACACAACTTCCTTTCTTGAAGTTACTACATTTTTATATATTTATCTCCCAGAGACCACCACTATTACTACCGTTGGGAGAGAGCTTACCTCAAGGCAGGCAAGTGTTGCTAAAGAAAACAACTTAAGTTTATTTCTTATGTTACAATAAATTTGATCAGGATGAAGACAGAGAAAAATCTGAAATAAGGGTTTTCATAATTTTAAAATAGCAGAGTTGAAGAAATGCCAGAATATTTGCCAGAATTACATCCCTGAGAATGTCTCTTCCAGCATCAGAGATTGCTGCTGAGACTCAGCTGAAGAAAGGTGCGGGACTGGAGGGGTTCATTTGGCATAGAACACAAAGTGGTTTCTCATTAATATATTTTGACTTTGAGCAGGTTCCTGGGGCTAACTTCTGAAGAACTCTTATCTGCTCTTCTGAGGCTATAGCCTGGTATAAAAATTATCATCGCAGTGGCCTCAGCTGGGACTTGGCTCATTGGAAACCAAAGGCAATTCTACTCTTGTGTTTTCTTTCTGGCTTCAGACTCTGGACAGTCCCAGGAGACAGTCACATCATCCAAAAGAAGCAAGTTACCAGAGCTTGTTGAGTTATCATCCAATATAAATGACTGTGCAGATGTCCCTTTGCATATCAGTTGTGAAGTAAAAATGTCTAGTTCAAACCATTATGAAAGAAAACTGGTACTGGTATTTTTGTGAATGATTTTTCTGTTCTGCTACTTCCCTGTGTATTACACCTAATACTCTTGCTTATTTATACTTATGATAGTATTCTTCCATTCTAAACTTTTGTAGGCATTGTGGAGGATTTCCAGAAATCTGAGGGCTTGAAATGTAGTTAACCCTTTGACTGCTTTAGTTTGCCTATTGCTATTTGAAACTGCACTGATTCTAATTCAGTTATTGAACATAAGAACAAAAAAGGCAGATGTTCTGTTGAAGCAAAGGGTTAAAGAACTGCACCTATTGCCAGCACATGGCTTGAGTCTTTGAAGAGTAAGTGAGAAAACTCAGTGAGAGGCTTTTAAGTCCCCTCTGTTTTTGCAAAATGGCCTGATAGGAGAATAATGCTTTTCACTATTTATAACCTATCAACAGACACCACATTACTTAATGGTTCCTTTTGAAAGATGTTTCTTTTTATTCATATAGTAACTGCCTTGGATTTGAGATAGATTTTTTCCCCTTTTAAATTACTTAAGGAAGGTACATTCCCCATAAACAATCATACTGTATATTACAGTGCTGAAACTCGAGAGCCTTAGAGACTGTGGTAATGGAAAATGTGATTGCACCATGGTGAGGAAATGCTTTTGTCAATACGTGTTCTTAGTCTGGACTAGTTTCTTGCTAAAGAAACCTTTAACATTCCTCCCACTTTTGCCTTTTATCTCTTCAATAGCACAGAGGGGCTACTGCATGCTGACTTCTTCCTGAACTTTATGCCACTTATTGCTTTTGTGCCTATTTCCTTAGATCAAGAAGAAGTTCTGAGTGCTGCAAACCTTCAGTTTGCAATTCGTGAGGTGTGAGGGGAAAATTCTTTAGTTTTCTGATAGCTGTTTTGATCTGATAGAAACCACTGGGGCTGAGGATGAAGTCTCAGTTATACTGAAGAGTCTGCTCTTATTCATCTGAGTCAATGCTGGTCATTGTTGTGCATCCACACAGGTTCTCCAGCTTCACTGTAGCCAGACTGCCCGGTGAAAACACAAACAGTCCCCTTGCCTTTGTCTGGGGAGAGGATGTGATGCTGACTGAGGATTCTCCCAGAGCTACTGCTCACATTACTCACCTCTTTCCTCCTGTCATTGTCTTTCTGTAGCAGCCACTTAATAGAAGCCTGAGGAGATTTAGGTGTGCATTCCAGAAAGGTGGTGTTGTTTTTCACTCCATACTGAACTATTTCTGCAGCATTTCTGTATGCTACAAAAAAAACCACAACAAAACAGGTCAGGATACTGTGAATGGTGATTTAATGTAGAAAACAGGTAGCTGTTTGCAATACAGACAAAATGAAGTATGCCTGATTCTGATATTGGCCAATAAGTAATTTAAGGGAAAAAAAAATCAAAGAAATTAAATGAAATGTGAAGAAGCACATTCAATTCCAAGTACCAATGTTTTTAGAGTGACATGTTCTGTTCTGAGAAATTAGGATAATGGTAAGCCTTGCTGGTGGGGTAGCTGAGCTCAGGGACATTTTTCTCTGAAATTATTTCATTCTCCACTATTCCAAAGGAGAATGAAGCATTTAATATATTTCTTCACACTTCACCATTCACAATGAGTTAAGGGAATATGGTTGTATGACCAAAATAGAGCAGCACGCCCTAAAGAAATCTCCAGCTACTCCAGCTGCGAGCAGCATCACAGGGAAGAGAGAGAGAGCAGGCTGGGCTCCTGCTCCTCTGCTTCTCTTCCAACACAAGGAAGGGACTTGGCTCTCAATCTTAAATGTGATGAATATGTAGACAGGCCAGCAACAGAGAGAAAGACAGATTTATAGCACTCCAGTAACACCTGGGCAAGTGCTGAGCATATGTCATCGCTTAGACTTGTTGTGTCCCTTTATAGTCTCCATAGATGAACAATTGGCAGTCACTGACAGAAACTTTTAGGTGCTTAGTGCTTGGCCCAAACCATAATATTTGTCCTGAAAACAAAACACCTCCAGGTTTAAAAGCTTGCTTCATATATGAAATACAATTTTTTTTTTTTTTTGGCAAAAGGAGCAATGGACACCAAATAATATAAAAAATTCAAATACCCAGAGGTTACATGTCTAAAATCTGACTCTGTTTTTGAACAGTCCTAAGACTGGTTTTCCTCAGACTCGACTCTATCTCCCGTTCTTTTCAGCTACTTTCATCAACTGATATGTGACATTGGAATCTATTCTACTAAAGGAAGGCAACTGCCTGGTTCTAGTCCTTCAAACCTTTTTAGCACACTTATGTGCTGTACCGAAACCAATTCTAACTTTTAGGAGAATAATGTGGAAATATTTTGCATTCAAAGGCCACAAGCTACCAAATAACTTATCTGTGGGCTAACCTGTCTGTAGCTGTGGAGAATCAGAGGTGTACCACAATATTACTTTTATGTGTACTGGAACTAGATGTACCACAGACTGTCTAACTGATCAATATATATCTAATGTTCTGCCTACTCTATAATACTACTACTTATACATGCTAAGAAAAAGACTGAGAGAACACAAATGCATTTCTCTAATGGCCATAAGGGCTAACACAGGCATAACAATATTAAACAGACATTTGAAAAGCAATCATAAAAGACCCTTAGTTCTTGATGATCTATTTTAAAATTTCAATATGCCAAAAATATTGAGTTTATAAATGCCTAGAGATCTAAGGCAAACAACCTACCCAGTTTAAAGACTTCAATTCAACATTATGGTTCTCTGTGAACTTGAAAGATTTCTTGCTATTGCCTGGCTCTCTGTTCTCTTGTCCTGTAAGTAGATTTCATCTTTTTCCCCAAACATAGTAGTTTTGCTATAAATGGCCCTAATTATATTTTGAAAGAGTCTAAATTGCTGTTTCTTTTTATCTTGTTTTCCATGAGGGAAGCGACTGCCATCTACCTATGCTATATCCCACTGCTGCCACCGAGACATCCTTTATAAACACATAAATCTATAAATACACCCACATCAAAAAAGTGGTTGGAAAACAAGAAACCTGTTTCCCAAGACTGTCAAAGTTGAAATACTTGTTTCCCCTCAGCCCAGAAAGCAGAGAGTTGACATTTTCATATTTTCCACATGGACAGACAATGAGTGGGAGGTCATGGCACATGGCTGCAAGGGAGGACACACAGCTCAAGTTGCTTCAGTATGGATCTCTCAGAGCTCAGGTGCATATTCTAATGCTGGGGTCACCTTTTGTAATTACCTGTCCAAGCTACTCAGTTTCAAATAAATGACCTAACACTGAGTCATGGGGAAAGACCCCTTTGAGCTGAGGAATCTACGCCCGACTGACTGTTGTGGTCTTTTTTGATCCTGGAGATTCTTCTGAGACCCTGTGGAGACTGTTTCAGTAGAATTATTATCAATGTAACCTTTCACAGGTAATTCTTAAAACATTGCTCTTTTATTGAAAAAAAAAACACCAGTAAAAAATTTACAGTCAGGTCTATTATTCAGTCTCCAGATGGTGTGGACGAGAATGTATTTCAAGATGCAGGATCAAAAGCAGAAGTGAAAGGAGAATAATTCTCCGATACGTGCCCATGGTCTGATGGCATATATGATCAACTTCTAATTTTGAGTATGATGAACTGTGTATTTCATGGTTCCTCATTTTATTATATATATGCAAGTTTCATGAAATTGCAAGAAAAGATGTTGAAACCAAATCAAAACAAAACTTGGAAAATAATTATGCTTTACCAGTAATCCATAAAGATAATGTGAGTTATGATGAATCACGCAAAGGTTCTTTATATAGCATGAGGATCTCTAAATTATAGTACCTTTCAGGTTGAAACCTCGGCACTGAGTCAGAGGGTTTCCATGTCTCACATCTTGCCTGCGACTCCTCCTGCAATATTTTGTAAGAAAAAAAATGTTATTCCAAGATAGCTACACTGCAAATAAACATTTTTTTTATTTGTTTGTTTGTGTTTTTTTTTTTTTTTACTAGATCAACCACTAGGGATAGTTCATGACCTACTGTGACTGTGCTTTACTCTTGGCAGGCTTGCTGGAGTGAAGATACAGTTAAAGTGAAGAATCAGTTTGTTGAAGTTTATAAAATGGTTGTAGTTTTGGTATGTAAAGTAATTTTCCAATGGAGGTACAGAGTTGGAAGGATTAGAAGTGATACACGAAAGAGACATCTGTTCACTCATGGAAGACCTAACATTCAAAGCCAGAAGCCCCAGCTGGAGCTCTTCATAAGGCAAGCACCTAAGAATGAGATGCATGAGAGTCATAGTGCTCATACCTAATGCACCAGCAGAAAATTATGATACAGGGCATGCTCCCTCCCCAGTTTTAGCAGGCACCATATTTTTGGAGCCTGTAGCCACCTTGGCATCAGTGTGACTGAAGAGTTCATCTGGAATGGTGGAAAGCTAAGAGTCCATTCTGGTATTTACTTGAGGGATGCCACTATTTCCAAAATATAATAGAACTCAGTAAGTATCAGATAATTTCTAAATGGAGACTTTATTACATTATCTGGATGACTGATACAAAATCATAATTCTCTACCAAATTGTCTAGGGAGCTTACTGAGACTGGGAATTCTGGCATTTCAGTCCTCCGCAGCTAGGAGGTCACAGCTCACAGAATTCAGTGCACAAAATGCTGGTACACAAATGTTTTAATCATAAGATATATTATTTTCTTTGCTACATATTCTGTAAGGTAGTTCAGTATTTATCAAGTTCAACTAGAAAAATGTATTGGTGATAGGTTGTTGCAACTGGATGCTGCTGGGACATGTAACAGCTGTATTCTGAACCACTGCACTGAGGACTCTCAGGATCTGAAGCCATAAAAAGCCCCAGGAGCTGCAGTACCACTGAGTGAAGGGTTATGCCTCTGTGGCCACATTATTCCTGGTAGTGCACAAACACCCAGAGATAGTGCTTATAATCCTTTGTCACCTGATCCTTCACTGCGCTGTTTTAAAAGGAAACATTTGAAAGGTAATGTTTCAAAGGAGTAATTTCTGACATTCCAAGTATGGTTTTGATGTTTACCATCAAAAATATTTCATGTTATGCCTTGGGTTTTTAACCCTTGTAATGTATTTATGTGAGTCAAAGGAGATAATGGAGAATTTATGAGTGAATATCAGGATTCCTGTGCTACTGTGAGCTACTCCACACTGTCAGAAATGGCATGTCATTTGCATTAAGCACTTCTGAGAATGTAAACTTACAGGTTTATAAAAAAAAAGAAAGTGGTGGTTAGAAAATTAAGATAATACTGTCAGGTGTTTGGGGGTAAATCAGTGTTGGATGAGGAACTACAGTAATTCACGGGAGACAGAAGTGTCAAAAGAAGGAAATAAGCAAATGCATATAGCAGAAACTACTGTCTAGACTATAGGATTTGGCTCTAATTACCAGTGTTTTCTCCTTCATACTCTGTCTTTTTTGATAAAGGGACTACTCATTTCCTTCACATATGAAAACCAGACTTTTTTCCAGACAGTTTTAGGGGGTTTATATTGGTTTGAAACAAAAATTGCAAACGAAATGTCAGTGTGAAAGCAAGCCCCAGTGGAAATAACCCTGGGTGGGTGTATATAATGGGATGGGAACGCATACACTGGAAACTGCAGAGGCTGGGTACATCTGTCTGCTCCTTGTGCCTTCCAGCAGCTATGTCAGTGTAGGAGTAAGGTGGCCTGAGACTTGGGGATTTTTATTTTCTCTCCCGCCCCTCATCTTCTGACCTTTGTACCATGGAAGTAAAACATCAGTTTGCAGACTTGTGGCTGAATGAAAGCAGTAAAAACCGCATGTACTTTACCAGATGCTACATGGCCAGTTTGGGCTTTACTTTGTAATCTCAGCTGAGGAATGGGTCCAGAAAACTTTGCAATAACAAAACACCATTGTCTTTAATCCCAGGGGATGACATCTTTATCAGCTGTTTGGATCACTAGAGCAGATCCAAGCTTTGCCTGTCTCCCTCCATGAGGATACAGGAGTAGAGCCCAGTAAATGTATGTGCAGCTCAGGTGCAGACAGTACATAAAGCTCTGGTACAGAACCATAGAACAGAATCGTAGAATCATTTGGGTCAGAAAAGACCTCTAAGATCATGGAGTCCAACCATTAACCCAGTACTGCCAAGTCCACCAGTAAACCATGTCCCTAAGCACCACATCTATGTGTTTTTTGAATGCTTCCAGGGATGGTGAATGCACCATTTCCCTGGGCAGCCTATTCCAATGCTTCACCCTTTCAGTGAATAAAGTCTTCCGAATACCCAATCTAAACTTCCTCTGGCCCAACTTGAGGCTGTTTCCTCTTGTCCTCTTACTTGTTACCTGGGAGAAGAGTCTGACCCCCACCTGGCTGCACCCTCCTTTCATGTAGTTGTAGAGTGCTTGAGTCTGAAAGGTTTGGCTCCTCTGCAGTAACAGTTCATTGTATATTCTGTAACTTTATTTGTATGTGAACTGAAATCTTAGTAAGACAAGAACTCACTACGGCCTTCCGCTCTCAAATACTTCCCCTGGGAGCAGGAAAGTGGCTCCTGTTTTGCATAAGAATTATGAGATGGACTATTAGCTCTGTTGTAAATTAAAGAGAAATCACTTTCCCTGTCTGCTTTAATAAATCTCATGTCAAAAACCCCAAATCTGTAGGCATTACATGGAAATCACATTTGCCTAGAAATTCCCTGGCAATAATTCTTCTCACTTAGGAGCAAATGAGGAACAAAAAAATGTTAATGAATCTATTCCTCAGACAGCTCAAGAGATATTTAGCTGTATTCAGGGCTATCACAATTACATCCATAGAAGGCAAATGAATTTAAACAAAGGGAACAAATGTTTCACTGATTTTTGTGTGTGAGACAGATGGATTAATATTTATGATTAGGAACCAATTTTTTCCTTTTCTTTTTCCTGTGTCCATTACTTTAAATATGAAAAGCCAAGCTCTTTATCATACGCTCTTGCATCATACAATCCTAGGTGATGAATAACTCCAAGCACAATCAGTATGTAGGTATTGTTTGTACACACTTATGAAAGGAATGACATCGCACTACAACACTCCAGGCTACACAGCGGAACAAAAGCCTTCTTTCCTTGCAGATTTCACGGGGCTGCTTAACACTGCTCACCTTTTTCCTGTGGGATAAAACCTGGAGCAGGAGTTGCCATCCCAGGCACAGTAGGGATCTCGGGCCAGGCAGCAGTCAGCACAGGCGGTCCCGTAGATGTGGCAGCGATGCAGGGACACCTGGGTGACCCCTTCATCCGAGCTCACGTACAACTGTTGCTGCAGGAGGAAATGGAAAGATTTATTTCAGATGTGCAGGACTTTCACCCGAGACTTGGCTAACACATCTAAAAACCCCTCAATTAATTTTGGAATTAATTCAAGAACCAATAGGGTAGCCACTAGTATACATAAATTCAATATTAACAGGAATCTCCCAGCTCAACAGGCCTATAATATTTCTACCCTCCTGCTAGAAAACACTTAGAAACACTTGGGAATGTAATGGATTTTTGGACATTGAGTGTCATTGTTCTGTTCTTGGGCAGATAGGCTGAGTTAATATTGCTCAGATTTGAGAACATGGTTCTTATTCAGTGAGGATTATTGGCTCAAGTCTTTGAACTAAGTATTTTCTCTATACATAGTCACTTTAATAAATATTATGCAGAGTTCCTAGTTGGATTCTCCAGTGCACAGATTTCCAAGATGTAAAACCAAGAGATTATGTTGAGGCTTAGGGCCAGATTCTGACAGCCTTATATACCTGGAAAAATAAGCCAAAAGAACTTTCATAATAAATCAGAGCTTTTGCAAAAGAAGTCCAAAGTGAATAGATCACTACCAAAATCTGGCCCAAAATTACTTTTTACTCCAAAACAATTAATCAGTTATTCTTAAAATATAAATTAATATTGAATAAAACCATTAAAACTACTATAATCTTTTTGGCATAAAAGTCGAACATTACAATGAATTCAATTTAGTGAATGATGTTTACTTAGTAGTAGTTTTGTGAAATATTGAGCAACATCTTGCTTGCAAAATCACAGAATACATATTTTTAGTTTGCATGGTTAACATTTCAGCAGAAATCCTCTCAGCTGTTTTTTTTTCTTATTGCCATCCTTTATTATTAATAAACCAATGTGTACAATTGCACCACGGACCCAACAGTCCCAACAATGTCTTTTTACGTTGATCAGACAGACTTCCAAGGGAAAATGTCTGTTTAGGACTCTCAGAAAACAAGGGGAGGGCAAATTTCCTCTTTTAGTACTTTTTCTGATTCCTTAACTGCCAAACAAAACAACAAAAAAATCAACATTTTCAATTATTTAGAAATGATACATAATGAATAGAAGTTTTATCTTAGTGGCTCTGGGACATATTAACAGCTCCTACAAAAGTCAGTCAAGTTTTCCGTATTCATTACGGAAAATATGCCTGTATTTAGTATGCTCCACAAGAATTGATAGCCTAACATCTTTAAGTCAATTTGCTTCTCGGTTAATAAGCACTAAGCAGCCATTCCACTTTTCTTTACCTTTTTAGATGAAATCTTCATTGTTGTTATAGGAGAATTACTCTGAAAGACAAAGTTACAAACCAGATTGTCAAGAACTCTCTTTTTAATACTGTCCCAACATTAAGATTTAAAAATCACTAAAACCTAAGCCATATCTAGGAAAAGCACACATTTTCATATCCTGGAAAGGCATCACTCACTCCTATTAATTTTTTACTATTTTCAGAACTAAACATATGACATGTATACAATTAATGTCTTGCAAATTGTTTTGCAAGACCTGCATCTGTGCTATCTCAGCAATATAGGAGCAATGTGTTTTGAAGCCATCATTTTAACTGTGTAATAAGAAACAATTTTTTTCTTAGATGATGATGATAAGGAAAAATCATACAGTAGCTCAAGATGCAAATAAGAATATGACATATTTTTCCTACAAATTACCTACAGTACATACAGTTTGGTTTCCACTCTATATACAAATTCAGATTATCAATGACTAAAATATTTTAAGTGGCATGTGTATTCTTGAATGTTTCTTTCCCACAGACAGTATACTACTGTGTGTCATCAGAGCAGTCAGTGCCTACGTCCAAATCAAATGCTAAAGAGCTGGAAAAGAAATTATTGCATTCCTTGTCTTAAGCAAGTGATACAAGTCATTATTCTCATCCAAACTAGTGATAAAATTAATGGTAACAAAAATGTTCAGCATTTCTTTAAGATTTAGCATTTGCTCAGTCACAAAGGAAAGCCATAACATCGCGTTAGGATTAATTGCAGTCGACTACAACACAGCAGGGAGGTCAGGACTAGAAAATCTGGCTGCGAATCCTGTGAATTGGCATAGGTTTGAAGGAGTTTAGAGCTGCAGTAGTACTTCATGAACCGTCTGCAGACTCAAGGTCAAATGCAACATTGGATTCAATGTCACATTCTCTTTTCCTTGCTTATACTCTGAAAGAGAATCACTGCTTTGCTACTCCCAGTATTTACTAGAACACAACCAGTGATCTCATCCCTGCTCTCTTGGCGAGACTCATCTAAATACCATCGTGCTGCCACCCAGATTGCAATGGCAGGGGTTATGATATCGTGATTTTTAGGGTTCAGGATAAAAAGGTCCGTGCATAGAGTCCCAAAAACTAGGTTTAGGGCGAAGATTCCTCTCAGCCCCCCTATCTTCTTGCTATAATAATTTCCATTTCAGTAAGTGGAATTAGCAATACTTTAGTGAAGGTTATGATTTTAGGTAATCTAGGGAAATCTTCAACAAAAGCCTAGAAAGACTAATTGTTCCTTTTATGAGGGTAAACAAAGAGAGTATTCTTTTTCTTAAAGAAACTGTTAATTCTGCCTAGGTAAAAAAATCTTAAATTTTCCTTTTTGTATTCCCTTAATGAAACAGACCATGACAAACCCCTTAACTAAGTTTATAGATGCATACTACCATTTGCCCTGAAACTACTGTTTAATGAATAGCCCATTCAAATATTTGAAAGGGATTTTTCAACATGAGGGAGAACATTTTCTTTAGGTTATTACAAGCTGTTACATGCCAGAGTGATTGACAGAGGCTATTCCCTCATTTCTCCCTGTAGTTCCTGTGTTTCTTTTCAGTTTATGTTGTGTTAAGCTCATAGCTTTCTTGACTTCAGAGTCATGTGGCTTTGAAGAACTGAAGTTAAGCAAAACCAACACTAATTTGATTCCATTCTGCAGCTCAGAACCAGGAAGATCATCAGATAATCAAAGTCCAGAAGTCTTCTTAGATTCCATCTGTAAATAGTGACAGTCTCAATACATGATGCCAATGATAAAAGTTGCCTTCTGGCAGCTACTATAACATGACCATGTAAAAATGTCATTATCAAAATCCTTCTAGACAGTACAGCAACTTAAAAAATAAAAAACTGAAATATAGGGGAAGAAAAGGACTTAATCTAGCTACAGCCTTCATAACAGTGGACATTTTGTATTCCTCTTTGTGTATTTATCAAGCTGACAGTATGCACATTTACTTGATCTTTTATCAAATCACAGTTGCCATTGCCAAAGTCTGTTAGAACAAAGTGTTTGTGTGAACATACACATTGGAAGAGTAAAAGTAGGAGCAAGCCAAACCTGAAAAACTTCCAACTCTTCTAAAATGAGTTCTCCATTTGCAGAGAAGTTCGTGGGTAGGACAACAACTTTCTGTACGGTTCCTTGATCTGGAAAAGATGAGAACAAGTGAGACCATATGAAGAGAGACCAAGGAGGGAGAGAAAGAAAAAAGGAGATCAACCTTTATTAATTATAAAAAGAAACCATCAAAGCAAGTACTATGACATAGAGAAAGATATGAAATGTTCAGTAAATTTGAGGGTTTGGGGCCAGAAAGAATAATAACATGATTCCTTATATAGGAATACTCTGTATCGTATTATTCTCATACATGAACATGAAGAAGTCATGGTGTCATGGTGAGATTGGAGTTACAGTAGTACCATTAATGTTACTATTCTACTCAAAAAGATCAGTCAAAACCCGTATCTTCTGTAGTAGTTGCTCTAGACACACAGACAGAGGTAGAATCTATCCTAATGATCTTGAAGTAAAATACAGCAATAGAAACATGTAAAAGGGAGCTACTGCAGAATTTAATATATATTATATATATTCATATTCAATAATAAACTGCTGTGATAACTGATGGCATAATAACTCTATCTACACCTAAACACAGTAAGAGAAAAACCTTTTCTTAGGAAATTCAAACAATAATCAATCATTACATACTGGTAGGAGTTAATATTTTGTCCATATGGTAAAAAAGGAAACGCGAGGTGAAGTTATAGTAGCTATTATATCATAGCTGCCCTCTCAAAATACAGTTCCAAGCCTCCCAAATCCACTCAGATCAAAGGAGCAAGAAGCAGAATGGATGTGGCACTGACAGTGTTTTTGCAGGGTAGATGTGATGAGTGAGACCAAAGGGAAATTTGTGATTAGTTTTCTGAATTTGTCATGTGGAAAAAAATATATGAGATGAACTGGTCCATCTGTGAAGCCTCTTAAAGGCTGAGACAGCCACTGAAGTATTTCTTCACATGTGTGGTGTGGCAGAAAAGGCAGACTGTGGGATAATCACAAGGACAAGTATTTTTACTTGGACGAAGCACAGCACATAGAATTCCTCTTGCCTGAAAGGCTTAGAAATTAGCCTGAGTAGAATAAATCTATTTGGTCAGTATTGATTCTGAGGAACGAGAACACATGGCATAGATTCTGTTCAGCCATCAAAAGTTTTATGAGCACTGTAGAGTTGTGCAGTGAGTAAAACACTAGTACAGCACAATACAGGCAAGACATATATTTTTACAAATTTGATACCAAGGAAAGGAAATTTCAGCTTCCTGTTTGGCAATTCATAATGAAGACAACATAAGCTGAAAAAGTGCAATTTTGCTTTTGCTTTAAGGTCAGTGACTAATTTCCATAGCTAGAGCCCCTTGCTAGAGGGCAAGTTGGTTACTGTAAATAATTTACATATTCTTATTTCCCCTGAGGAAAAAAAACAAACAAACGATAATGATAATAACATAATCAACAACTTTTTTTTTTTTAAAAAAAAGGTTTGAAGCCAGTATATTGATATTTACTGACTTGACCACACACAGAGAGCATACTGCAGTATTTGGACTTAAAGAAAAGAAGGAAAAGAGAAATCGAAAGCTGACATGACTTAAAAATATGTAGCTATCAATTTTACATGCCCAGGGCACGTTAGGCATGAATTTTTCATGAGAATTTTCTATGGAGACATTTATTCTCATTATACAATGGCATGATAAAACAGTTCCTTCTGAAGAAACTTTACCGAAACTAAATCTTGTGGTAGCACAGCTGTGGTCTAGCCTGGGTGCCAGCATTAGCAAAGCTGTGAGAACCTGAGAGAGATTTACTAACTGTCAGGACCCACCAAAGCTTTAAACTGCTGCAGATGTATCCCTCGTTGAAGTAAGGAGAAGCCAGTGGGTGTATTTCTGCTCCTATGGAATGGACAAACCCACTCACAAATCTACACGGCTCCAGTCCAGTCCACCTCTGCCTCTTTGCACCCTTTAATCAATTCCCTCTCTCTAAGGTTAGACTCTACCTTATAAAACACTTAATCAGAAGTGCAGGAAGGAGCCACAGCCTTTCCTGGGTTTTTTTGCAACTGACATACAGGGCACTAACCATGCTGACAGTGACCTTACCTGCAAAGGAATGTGAAGCTGCTGAGCCTCTGAAGAACCGGTTTATGTCAATGATCCATTAGCACATGCCATACATTTAAAATTCCTAAATTGTCTTGAGTCCTCAAACATTGCCCTGAACTGAAATCAGAACCTGAGGGGAGATTTTATCCTGGGCATGGGCACAGAAAATACTGATAACGCCTGACGCCAAGTCCTTGTATCCTAATAACCTTTCCTATTTGTAAAGTAGGGTCCTATCTACCTTTTTGTCACACCCCAGCAAAACACACTGAGTGAAGGACTGTTTACCTTGGTATTCATTACCTTTGACTCAATATTTTACCATTTGCTTTGATTCAGTATTGTACCATGAGGGACAGATCCTTGCAGAAAGGAATGTTCTATTATTTTAAAGGAGACTTAATACAACAATTAAAATAAATATTCAAGTAGGCAGTAGAAAGCTATTAATTAAATTAAATTACTTAAACCAATGGATTCCAATAGTCTCTACATATACAAAAATAAAACTATTTCCAACAATACATAGCTTATAGGCTATAGTCCTTCCATTGCTTCTAAAAATAGTCTTTTTCCTGTTCCTCAGCCTCTTCCTTATTAAAGGAAAAGCAAATATTTGTGTCCAATCCCTCCTTCTTTTTTCTTTTTCAGTAGTACTGCTGTCTACAGTGTAAAGACTAACTGGTAGCTAACAAATCAAGTCACACATGTTCATGTCAGAAAACTTATAGTATATTTGAGTTTTGTTGGAAATATTATTTGCTTATTTCCACTAATGGTGAGACAGTGAACTAAATTCACTGGGTCAGAGGGAAAGTTGGAAGGGTTGCAGCACTGTGCACTGCAGGAGATTTATGCAAAGTAGCAGTGCCTGAGCTGTTTCCCAGTGTATTTCACAATAGATGATCTTTTGCACTGTAAATCAGGCAGAAGAGATCATCAAAGAAGTACAAGTCAAATTTTTTTCAAGTTTGGATCAACGTATGAAATTATAAGCCAATTCTGTAAAAATCATAAAACTTAACCGGATGGTTTCTTTCGCCATTTACTTTTTCCTTCCAGAAATCCACTTGAAAACAGTCCTATGATTTCACATTGTCATGAAAAAGCTACTGTGTCTCCAGAATATTAATCCACCACTAGAAGTGAAGAGGCAGATTTATGCTCACCACTTCCCTGACTTTTCACCGGGAGCTGTTTGCAGCCTCACATCAACTCAGCAGTCTGTGAGTTAAGGGCAGACAGACAAACAAAAAGGAATCTCCCTCAAGCTGACAGCAAGAGGACAAGGGCAACTCAAAATGTTTTTCCATTTCAAACCCACTTAATGACTGCAGGTGTCCCAGCTTGACATGAAGGGCAATGATAATGAGATCACGTTCCCTCTGAGAGGACTAAGAAACTGGGAACAGCAAGGGAGGAAAGTAAAGACTAAAAAATTGTGTAGAAAGTATGCAGAGTGAGAAATAAATGGAGAAGGAAGGTAGTCCAATAAACAGTTCAAGGAAAGAAGCAGAAGAGACAAATAATAATAATAATAATAATCATAATTATAATAATATTCCTTGAAATGCAAGGCGTGATTCTGGGCTGATGTTAATCAGCTAAGCTTCATCAATACCAGTTAGATTGTGCCTGATTACACTAACTCCCAATAGGGCTGACCACAGGCAATGGGGAAAAGCAAAGCTTGATGAACAGAAATTAAAAATATAGAGATGTTTGGCTGAATCTGAAGGTCTGAGTTTAAACATCATTCTCTGAATTTTGACTAGCTTTTGTTTCCCCAGTCCTAAGTGAACACTACAGCTGTCAGTAACGTGAGCCTCAAAAGAGAGTCAGAACCCATCTACCTCTGAGCTACATCACACACACAAATTGAACAAACAACAAATAAAAAACCCTGAATTTTCCACATCATAAAAAAATGACTGCAATGGGCAGCAATGTCTACTTTGACATGAGATTTGAGATGCTTCTTGCAGTAATCCCCTCCCCTGATGTGTCTGACACTGCTGGAGACCTTCTAAAAACTTTTCTCCGTGTTGTACCTGTCAGCCTAATGGCAGCTTAATTGTTTTTGGTCTCTAATCTGAGTTGAACCTGATGCACACAAATAACATTACAAAGAAAAAAAGAAAGCAAAAAGTTTACCAAATGTTTAAAATCTGTCTGTCTGAGAAGATGTTGAGGCTCAACAGAACACCTGAGACGGTGGCAGGTTAGCAGTCAGGGCTGACAGCCACGTTCCCACGCCCTCGGCTGTCCTTAGGTGTCTGCTGTAACTCAGAGCCCCCACCACACACTAATCTCTCTGTGCTTAGTTCACTCATCTGTCAAATGGGTGTAATTTTTTTCCAGCTCATAGTACCACTGTGAAGCTTCATAAAATTCAAGCTGCATCAAAGGACAAAAAGACAGATACAAATGCTCACACTTGAGGGAAAAATTTTCACATAGCCCCAGCTCGGTTAAACTTTTGAGACACAGTTTGAGCTTGGTCTGAATAAAAACTGAACAGGGGAAATGAAGCAGGTGGAGGTATGCCATCTTAACTTACATATCCTCTTAAAAGGCTGTGAAAAAGCTTTGGATGAGTAGGTCAACAAAAGGTTTTGAATGACTCAGGCATCATGACCAAGAGGAAGAAGGAAACTCTGATGCCTGTTGTGTCACTGTTGTGCAACATCAGCTTCCCAAGCTCACAGCCATGAAGTTGCAGCCAGGAAAACTATGGGAGGGAAGTTTGCTCTTCTGACCAGATTCTCTCTCTTCATTAGACTCTGTAGATCATTATGTGATTTTGGCTACTGCCTTACTGGAGGCTACCACTGTCAGCAAGGGTTAGTTTTCCAAAAAGACAGCCATCACAGGACACCATGAAAATGAGTATTACAACCTTATGCTCTGGAGGCACTTACTGCATTGAGACTTTGAAAACAAATGTTGCATCAGAAAAGAAAAGATAATAAGAAACATCGATCAACCTCACGCCACATCAGATGCATGGGGCCGACATTAATCATCTGAGTAAGTCACACTGAAGTCTGAAGTGCCTTTTTACAACAGTAACTTAGATCTCTTTCCACAAAAACATATTCTATCTTGATAGCAAGAAGCTGAAAAAAAATCCCATTGATGCCCATAGCTGTTTAATGTACCCAAGTTTGACCCAGACATTTAAATATTTTCATAACACAAGAGCAATAAAAAACCCCATGCATAGTCTTTTAGTTGTGCAATCTGTGTGTACTTTGACCAAAGGCTTTCGTACTGCAAGCAGTAGGTGGCATGCTTAATAAATAAATATTAATCTCACGAAAATGTTCTCATGGTGTTTTACTGCTGTTTTACAATTCAGATGGAAAACAATCTACCAGTGGATAAACAGAGAATATTGAAAGCTCAGGTTGTTTAGATATAACCGAAATGAGTAAAGAAATTACAGTTCAACTCTAGGGTGAATCCAAAAACTTCATGACTAAGCCCCGGCCTATAACAGAAAGGGGATAACAAAATCAGAACTCTAATCCCAAACTCCTGAACTGAATATGTTATTACTCATTGCATAAGGAAAAAATATCATCAGCTTTGCCCTTGTCAAAAATGCAAATGAGTAATTACATTCTTTCCAAGTAAACTATCTCTTGGGTTTCTGTTTGGAAAGACAAGGTAGACAGCACCCTTCTCTTGTAGCACTTCTCTCTACCAGTCAAGACTTGTTCCTTACTCCAAGTCAGCTCATGTCAGAGGGGAGTGAAGAGATCCCTTTGGCTGAACCTCACAAAATCAGCGAGTTTTGTTATGTGCTTTAAGAGTCTTCATTTTGAATAGCAATGGCAAAGCAGGAGATGGTTATCATTTGAAAAGTGGGTGGAGTGCCATGAGAGCAACGTCTGTGCCTGGGATTTATTTTGTTTGTTACGTAGGCAAGCAAGGGAGAAAAGCTGTGTATTAACTGTGGGCATGGGCCAGCCCCTGTGAGCTCAGCACTTCTGTCTGGGAGGGCAAATGAAACACTACATTTAGTTCACATTAATGTGAAGAAATTACAGAGCTGCCTATACCCTCCTGTGCCAGCCATGCCTACATGATGAAAAACACTGGGGTTCTCAGAGTTTTATATTTCTGTTATTCTTCACTTACATTCAGGAACTGATTTATTACTAGGGCTATCAAGGAGGAAGAGAGGAAAAGCTAAACATTTTGTGTGCTCTGCATCTGGCAAGACATAAAACACTCCGATTTCAAGCATGAGACAGGTCACTGACAGTGACAGACATGGCTGGCAACATCTCAGTTCAGCAGCAGTAACTCATCATCTGAGCTGAGTGTAATTGTCACCAGGTGTCAAGTCCCATTGTCTCTGTCTGTGGGGCTCCAGGCTCCCAAGGAAATTATCACATGAAATTCTCCTATACAATGTGGTTTTTGCATTTGACGGGATGAACTGACACCAAAGCAAATCCCCTCTGCATTCCTTTTGACACTTAATATCTCTATCAAATCCTCCCGAGTCTCACAGAAAGCAGAGAATAAAGAAAACAAGTTTCTCCTCTCAGTGGCTGAAACTTGATCACTTTTATTTGAAAGGGCTGAGAAATGCAATAACTTACATTGCATCAATTTCTTTTGAGGAAGACCTTGGAAGCTATTCATGTCCTGTGCCCTACTCAGGAAGAATAATGTGTCCCCTTCAACTAACTAGCAAGCAGAAAATGATTCTTGTCTCCAGTGTAATGAAGAAGATAAAGCAATGAATATAAAGTATCAAGAGCTTCAATTTACTTATCTGATCCATAATGGGTCCTGTGCTGATACACAGAAGAGGATTAACATAATGTAAGAACAAGCTAAAGTAGTTTGATGGCTTTTTTAACGGCTTACAAGTGTCTGTATGAGACCACACTGATCATCTAAAAACAGTCAGATGGTCATCAAAGTATAAAATGAAATTACCTATCTTTATGCCTTGCAGAATTATTAAAATGCTAACAATTAATATTGTGATTTCATGCACATTTCAGCTTTTCAGTACATTTCCAGTTTTAACCATCACTGCCGCATTAACAATCCTATGCAAGTTCAAAACTTATGTCTTGATCTTTTCCACTAATGTTTAGTAGAATGTTTCCCCAAATAACATTAGATGTTTATAGAGCATTTTAAAACAATGTCACCACTATATAGTTAAAAAAATAAAATAGGAAGGGAGAGACTCCCTTCCATCAACCTGCTGGCTGGATATACCTCTGCTTATACAGCACAGTATGCAGTTGGCTCCCTTGGCACACAGACACCCTGCTGATTTTGATAGCTGGGGAGGTTTTTCTAAGAAGACTGTAGAGACTTCCTGTTAGTCCTGTCCCTTGAGGGGACATTCTTGAGAGACTTTTTAGCACCCACTTCCTAAATCTATTATAACAAGATGGTTATCCCCAGCCCCATGTGAGTTTGTTGGCAGGCATGGTTATTCTACAAACAGAAAACAACCAGGACCCCAATAATATGTGAAACATAAAAGCAATGCAAACCACTTCTGTAATCATTTTCTGATGTTCAGACATTATTTGTTCTCCCAGAATTCTTTTCCTTTGTTCTACTTGAAACCATCTGTAGTAAAAAAGATTAGCCTTTGTGCCTATCAACCTATGATGCCCTGTTAAGCCACTGGGAGTTTCAGATGTGAATGAGTCCTAGGGTCTAGTCAGAGTACCACTCTGCTTGTCTTCTCCAGTCAAAATGTTGTGATTCATATCTAAATATTTAAAAAAATCAAAATTGATCAGTACGAGAATCCCTTGACCTGTTCCCTGTAGACTTCAGAAGCATAACACCAGATTCAAATTTAATGCTACTAAAACCAAAATGAAGGTTATATTAGACAGAAATTATTTTAGAATACTTGGATCAAATTCTCTGTGTCCACTTCAGCTAGGACCGTGACCATTTGTTTCCTTTTCTCTGCTAAGTACTCTTCTTTTTGGTTGAGTTGCTGTTTCTGCCTTTACAATATCCTGATCAGATCATGCTTTTCGTCAGAAGTAGCTTACATAGCATATATTAAATAATAATGATGACAGTATAAAAAAATTAGAAAGCTAGATTTGGGTATCAAATTCTTATATGGAATCAGGTTGCAGACAAACCATATTCAAGAGAAGTAGTATTAGTTAGAACCAATAATACACTAGTGTTGATTTCTGTCTCAAAATTAATACCAATACATTGTATTTCTTGCACATAACTTATGTCTATAGTAAATGTAAAAATGCACAGAAAGTAAAATTAACCTAATTTATGGATTTCTATAGACATTTTTGTATACAGTAAATGTTTAAACAAGTATTTCTGAAAGCTGTAAGTTGTACAAATCAGAGTTGATTGCAAATTTTATTGCAGTGCAGGAAAACAAATGCTGCTAATTTTGTCTTACCTGTTCCAAGAAACAAGACGTGATATCTCCCATCAGCAGCATTCACTCGATCCACAGCGATCTTTGTATACTTGTAGTCAGCTCCTATCCGGATGATTAATGGCCTCTTGTGTATTGGGTAAATGGGATTAAACATCAAAGGGTGATTCCTAATGAAGGTCACAACATCGTCTGGAAACTCTTTGGTCGTCCGCATATTAGGTGTGAAGGCTCCTCCTGGACACTGTAAGATGACAGTAATGATTAACAATACTAACCATCTTTCGGAGAGTTTTCATCTCCAAGTCATTTACAAATATTGACAGATAAGTTGACAAAGAAGTTTCTGAAAGAGCACTGCAGGCCCACCAAAACTTATTATGTTCCAGTAATGGGAACGAAGTGTTGAATAGCTACATTTTGAACTCCCATCAGTGCTGACAAAACAAACACAAATGTATTTTTGCACTTTCAGGACACAGCTTCATGACTAAGGTCTGAAAAAATCCAAGAGATTGGTATGGGAAGATATCAAACTTTTGCATCTGGTTTGTTACAGAATTAGTACAAAGACAAAGGACAAAATCTAATACTTAATTGTAATTTGGAGATGATGAAAGGGCCTGTGACTCGTTTTTATTTGAAAAACCAATAATATGGAGTTGATGAGGGGGTCCTGTAACAACTCATTTATATCTCAGAAGATTGTCTATACTTTCCCCCCTGCCTGAGAGATAACTGAGGTCCATGAATACTCTAGATGCTTCTTTAAGTATAATGAAGAACTGTCAAAATAATCAGCCCCAAGGCATTCTGGACCTCACAGGAAAATAAAAAGCATCTTAGAAAACACAACTATTTACTGAGAGTGAAACTAAAAGAAGACTGGGAAGAAAGCAGGGCTATGACAGTAACTGGTACAGTGTTCTGGATATACCTATGTTAATTTACATTATTTTTTTTTCAGCTACCATTACCTCACTTCTTATTGCTGCTCCTGGGCTTTCATTTTCCCCCTTACCATATTTCTGAAATTCTCCTTAGAGTATTGGAGGTATTCAGAAGTGTTTCAATGCGATATTTTTCCAATAGGAAAATGTTGATTTGTTCAATAAAAAGCACTTGATGGAAACTTCTTTATTTTGACGAGGGCCATTCATACATCTAGGATGGAATTTCTGGTCAAAACCACAGACACAAAATAGCTCGTCACTTAGGGAGAGACTAACCTCACCTGACTTCTATTGCCTTAAAAGTCAGGTATTTATTCTTAGGTTTCCTCTGAAGTCAGTAATTCAGACTAAATGCCCTGCTTTTAGATGTCTAAAATTATATAAAATGAATCATATTCTGAGAGACTTGGAAACTCTCTGGGGATATATGAATCATATGTCCAAACTACCTGATGAGATGAAATGTTGGAATTTGGGTCTTCACCTCCCAGGGGATTCCTCTAACCATCAGGCAAGAGTGCCTGTTCTACCCTCCACACTGCTAAAACCTAATGAACTATTCATTGGGCATATCAGGAACCAAGTAGAGAGGAGACTTCAGCCTAAATCCCGGCTTCAGAATCATCTTCTGACTCAATTAGGAGTTAATTATTCATACAAAGTAGAACAGCTCTGGTAGTTCTTTAAAAGATCTGGCATCAGTTACCTCCAGGAAGAAGAACCAGAACTCAGCTCAGATACTGGTCGCTTTTCTCATTTGACATCCTTGACAATTGATTCTTCTGGGCCCTTATTTATCCTAAAGGCTTTATTTTTGGTTTTCATTAGAACTGATGCTACATACTAGCCCTCTAAGATTGCTCACAAAATTATTATCTTGCTTGCAAATTACTTTTTCCCTTTCTGGCATATCCATCCACAGTCTTCCAGAAAATTCATGGAACTATCTGTTAAGATTAGCAACAAATGCTGAAAAAAGAACAGTGTTCATCATAGCAAGATTATCCTATTTGGTAGTGCTCTGCCAGACCCGAATTACTCTCAAGAGGGACTCTATTTCACAAGCAGTTCAAATTAAACTTTCCTGTCTCACATAGCTCAGTTATGTGACAGTTATGTGACACAGCTCAGTTCTCTGACACTTTCAATCCTTCCATTCTTGACTTGGTGATCATAAGAACTTTGTCTGTGACTTCCTCCAAAAATGTCTGTGGTTCACCCCAGTATGACCCTAAAAATTTGCATTATATTGGTGTGCTGAGCAAAATCTTAAACATCTCTAATCAAATAATTCTTTTGCTATCCCCTGTATAAAGCAATGACGAACAAAAGATGTTACTGAAGAACCTAATAAGCTCTTCCTTTCCTGAAGGGATTGAATCTGTATCCTTCACACCTAATTCAAGGACTTGGCTACATAATCTTATGTTCAGAGTTGATCACCATGCAGTTCGATTGCAGAGAAAACCAGAATTCTTTAATTTATAGCGTATTCCCCCAACATGCTGTAGGTACAAAAACTATTTTTGTAAACTCTGAAAAATGGAAACTATCCCCCAAACACCACTGAATTTAGTAGCAAGCTGCCAATTATGTATTTTTTTTTTTTCCATAAGTAAGTTTTGCTTGTGGAGAAACAAGAAACCATTGGTATTTAGTGAAGGTCGGCCAAACACTGCAGAGTTGATCATGGCCAAAAGAATGTATTGCTTTATTTAATCCTACTGAAGCTACACCAAAGCCTTTCCACTGCTGATCCAAGGTACTGTGATATGATGAACATTTACTTCTGTTCAGAGGTTTAGTATGAATATATCTTTAGTCAACTGCAAAGGAGGATTTTCCATGTCATATGAAAAGGCATCCCTGTCTAGTCCAGCATCCCAGAAGCTGCGAGAAAAATACATTCCAGAGGAAAGAGGATCATACCCCGTAGTCTGCTAATCAAAGTCAACTCTTTGAGTACAAATTGTAGGCAGCAAAAAATCCCCATATCCTGATTTTCACAGATGCCTTGACACAAGTGAAAAACAGAGTTTGTGGCATGCATTTAAAAGTGTAACTTTTTGGCAGCGAAATAAAATCAAAGCCAAACAAATTCTGTCTTACAAAATATGCCTTTAAAATATATGTTATGGCTGAACTGTGAGGTAGCACAGAAAAGCCAGTGACCAGTAAACCAGCAATGATCATCTAAAGGAATCTATTTTGACTTTATTTTTTTTGTGTGAGCTATAATCTAAGAATTTATCTTCAAATTCAGAGCTTTCAGCACATCTCAAAAATTTAGGCAATTTCTGTCACCATTTCAAATTCAAATCTGTTTTTTTTTCCCTTTCAATCGTGCTGCCCAATATCTTCGGGCCCCTCTGGAATACCACATAAGCCTCCATGAGATGAACCAAGAATAACACAGCAAAGGTTGAGGAAACACATAGAAACACAATACTCTGAAGCAGCAAGAAACCTTGAAATGCGACTAAGAGAATTAAACTTCCTGTTTAAATGGGTCAATTTTTTTCGGTAAAATTTAAGTTTAAAGCCTCAATGAACTCATGAGATTAGAGCTGTATGAATTAATTGCAAAGAAAGACGAATGCTAGCATTAGACCTTAGTGGAATCTGGGAACATAAGTCCTAACTCTTATAGCCCATAATAACTGCACTAAAATGTCATGAAGAATTGTGTGAATAGGGAGAGCCCTTCCACATATCTGAGCTATTCCATGTGTGAGAGACAAAGAGAGAAAAAGAACAGGATCTTGCAGCAGAAAGACAAATAAGATAGTGATAGTGTTAAAGATTCTTGCAGGGACTGGCAAAATTAAAATAAAATTTTATTTCCTGTGATAAATGGAAAAGCAACAAAATTTTAATCTAAGAAAAATATAGCTCCATTGTTGAGAGACAATTTATTATTCTCTGCATACTTATTTCCTTCTGATGCTTAAGAAATTTTAAGACTTCATAGGAGTCAAGACACATCCATACTACCATATTTCATTTAGCAAATATGGATTTAGGGAAGATTCTAGAGAAGTTCATACGTTCTTCATTAAAGCTGGAAATATTAGACATCATATTTCTGCTAAATCTAAATTAGAATGGTGGAAAAAGTAAGGAAACAAATAAATAAAGAAGTGCAATAACAGAAATTTTTATGCACCATAAAGTTGAAAAGTAAGAAAAATAATAGTTTTATTTCAAATATTTCATGAGATATTTTTGCACAACTTGGAAACAGAGCTAGTTCTAATGGTGTACAGAATTTATTGGAAGATTATTACTACCCCTAATTCAGTGAAAGAAAGCTCTGAAAAATTTACAAAGCCTACAAAAAGCGCTCTTACCAAGGAAGGCTACTGTGAACTGATTGGCATGAAAACACATCTATTTCTAGGACCTGCTTCTAAGATTCAGTATCTGATAGGGCACTAGACCTAATCAAATGACCAGTCCCAGAAACCTTATTCTTCTACTATATCTCCTAAGCATCTGAATAGAGCTGCAAAACTTTAGAGGACTATGGAAAATTCATACAGACCGAAGACAGACTTACAGACATGTGGATCCAGACTGTAGAACACACTCACAATGCTGTCTTTGTATGCTTATTTATTTAGCTACATTTTGCTCAAATATACCCACAAAATGGAAATGAACGTGTAAACAAGATGACTGCCACCTACTGAAGAAATTCTTTCAGCAGGAAGAGAAAGACTGATTAACATTTTACATGACTTTTTACTCTTTCTAGAGGATTTCCAGATACAACATGATTTGTATGACAACCGAGAAGCAAATAAAATAGTTTTGAACTGTCACAGTCACATACAGTCCTTCATCCTGGAATAAACAATATTTATTTATGTATTAAACAAAGACAAGCAATTGGCAAGCCTGCATAAACGTCTTTGTACTTACGGTGCCAGGTCGCGGGTACGGAATTCTGCCCTGATATGGAATCAGCTGGTGGTTTGGGCCCTCCTTGTGTGCAAATGGCCCATTGAACACAGTCTGGATGTCAGACAGATGATACACACACACGGCTGAGCCTTTAAATATGGAGCTGGAAGACAGCAGGAAAAAGTTAGCACTGCCATCTACCAACTTTTTGTGGCTTTTCCATCATTTTGCATGGTCCAATGATGAAAGATACCTCTAAAACAATATATTTGATACAATTTAAAGCTTCTACAGCGTGGATTTAATACACTTAAAATCAAGTAATCTAGCTGCTCAATATGCACCACTATTTCCTAAGACTTAGCACATTTTTGAACAGTGAACTGAAAAAAGAGGGAGGAAGGCACTGCCTCACTGGTGCAATAAGAACACCTCCTAGCAGTGAATATAAAAAAATATAATCTGGCTCCAGTTAAGTCAATGGCAAAAATATTGCTGACTTAAGTAAGACAAGAGTTTTATAAACTTTGTACTGCCAAGCTCAGCACAGGTTTCCAGAACTCCCTACCAGTATATTAACCGCAAGACCTCCATGAGCTTCCTAAAATACAAGGCTAAAATATTAATCAAAATATCCAGAGCATTTACAATTGGTTGGATTATTACAATCAGTTGCCAGCTTTTCTAAGCAAAATGGGGACATACTGTGGCTGTAAACAAATTAATCCTATACAGTCCACAAGTCCACCCACAAAACTGGTCTTACAAAGACCCAAGTTTGATGCCTCCTGAGGAGAATCCAGGGAGTCCTCTAAGAAAAGGGCATTTTTTTCCCACTGCTCTGGGCTTAGCCATGGGTTCAGTTAGAACAAGCCCTGAAAGGTCTCCATCACCCCATGATTATGAAGGGCACTAGGGGCATAATTTCCAGACTGGTGCTAGGGCTGACTACAGTAAATTAACTTCTTCATTTTTTCTCTCACTGCATGCAAGGTTTGTGATATTTATCTTTAAAAAGTGGAAACTCCAGACAGTCCAAAATCTGTCTGATGTTAAATGTAGGATGAAAATAATCCAAGTAATTATTTTCAACTGAAGAAGAAAAAAATGCTCCAGAAAAAAAACCTGAAAACATTACATACAGTGTCTAAACAAGGAAAGTGAAATCCACATTGCTCTCAGTTGTATATGGATTAGTAGAATGAAACCTTTTAGATGGATTATGGTATTTGTGGAAATTTTACTATGTATTAATAGATTTTGAGAAATTTATTGAATCTTCCCATATGTTTTATGTTAGATTTATACCATATTATGATAGTAAAATAATTTGCTTCAATATTAGTTAGTTTCCTTCTGTATGAGCTAGAAAAAAATACTCCTAGTTATTACATTTCTGTGATGTTTCTATCTTGCTACTGTTATGAGTTGGAAGTCTACAGAGGTGATGATACAGGAACTGTTAAGGAGTAAAAATTCTTATAGTTGCTGCATTTAACTAGGTTAACACATTCTATAGTTGAACAAAAAGAAATCAAGCAGAAACCATGTGGTTCACGGGAACAGAAATGCCTGTGTGTAAAAACTTCAACAGAGAGAGAAAATAGGTTGAGAGCCAGGAAAAAATGAAGTTTTCTCTTTGTTGTCACCTTATATGGTCCTGTGATTCAAACCTCATTTCCACTGCAGAAATACCAGAATTGGTTAGCAGTGTTTCCAGTTCAGTCATGTTGCATTCACAACCTATTCATAAGTGCGGTTTTACTGATAAACATAACCCCATCATTTTCTCTTTTTGTGAAGTAGAAATCATAAATTGTGGACAGAACCAAATGTTTACAAGTTATCTGATTTTTTTTCCCACAATTAAATATCCTAAAATGATATTCTCCTGTGTCATTTACATATTTAAGAAAGCAGATCCCTGGATGCTCATGAAAAAAAGTCTACTGGGGGGGGGGAAAGAATTATGAAAGGATTTTTTTTACTAGAAATTGCCATTAAAGGAATTATTTGTAATGAGTTACATAATTTGCTAATTTGATCAAATAAATTAAATAAAAAATAAAAAATCAGAAAACCTCTTTGAAAGTAAGAAGTTACAGCTAAATAATATAGGATAACACCAGACATCAGTAAGCAGTAACTATTTCTACTCAGTACTAACACTGTGTGGTAAGGGCAAGAGGAAAAATGAAAAAAAAAATGGGTCCACCTGTCAGTCTATCTCTGGGAAGAGTTTCAGCACAGTAAGCCATATCTAGTGCTTCCACACCACCCTTGGTAGCTCACTAAATGCTTTCCAAACTGGACAGAAAGTAAATACTACTGACTGGTAACAGGGAGCTTAGGGCTACAAAGAAGTGATCAAATGCCATAGCTTGCCCTTTTGTAGCCAACTGAAGACGATATGGATTATTTGCCATCTGTATGATCATCTGCCAGCTGAGAGACTGGAAATGATTTGTATGAATTCATGTAAGAATTCTTGGTTTGATCTTTCCCGGTGCTGGATGTTCTTCAGGAGGTGTTAAGTGCTCTCAGATGCCACATAAGTTCACTGCGTTAAAGTCACTTAGCTTTCTGCTGCTGAGCAGTAACAAGTGGCCCTCCATGGAAATGTTTTCCCAGTGCCAGCTGACAGTATGTCAGGAAGCAGTTTGCTCCAAGAAGCATAGCTCTAACATGGATACCAACAGCAATGATACAGAGATTCTTACTCCTGCCTGCAAATGATGGCTGCAGCAGACACACAAAATTGCAAAGCGTAGCCTGGTCCAAAAAAATCAACTTCAGTTTTCATACAGAAAATCAGGCAGTTCAGAAAGGTTATTTTTTTTTTTTTCAAACCTCCCCATTTACCTTGATGTTGTAAAAATTCCATACACAAGTGTTGTTCTGGGGTTATCAGTCTCTAAAAGAAACACATCCTCTGAAAGAAAGAAAAGGAAAAAGAAAAATGTTTTTAATACTAATAAAACCCTTTATTTTCCAGTTTAATGTATTACTTTATTGCTGCTAAAGTCAATGGTAGTTTTGTCTCAGACTTGAAAAAGAAAAAGCAGACTTACTATATCAACAGACCATATATGCATAAATCTAGCATTTAAACATTCAGAAAAAGATTTGGAAATTAACTCCACACCATCTAGCCTTATGGAGACAGAAGGCAAAGATTTTCAAATACGTTCAGGATCCGTGTCACACATTTCCCTCAGCTGGATCTTGTTTCAGCAGGTTGTTTAACAGTAGGCAAACATTAAAGTTGCAGTAAGTTAAAGACAAAGAGTTTGCATAGATGAATGTAATCAAAAACAGGGAAATTAGGTGTTTTATCATCCAAAACATACTCTAGCGCCCTCACAAGCTCATTCTCAACATGATATGACTGACATACAGCTTTGCAGTGAAGGCATTGAGAGATGCAAACCTCCCAGCTCCTTTGTATTGGGATTTATTGACTGCACTGTGCAAAACTACTACCTACTCACTGAACTGAATTTGCCCACTGTTACCTCTGATCTCTTCTTTTTTTATACACTTCAGTGAAAACTACTTTAATTTATGACAGTTTCTCCTTCCAAATGTTTTTAATAACTATAATCATGCTACCTCTTAATTTACAACACAAAAAAGACTGAACTGTTTGAGCTTTTTATCACAGAATATGTTTTTTAGTTTTCCATAAATTTATGTGGTTCCGTCACTTTACCCTCTGAATTTTTTAAATATTCTTTTCAATATGTCAAAAGCAAAAGACTTCACCATGCAGAACTGGAAGTGTTACACTCTCCTGCATTATACATGAACACAGAAGCATGTGTTTGCTCTCTCCCATTTTTCCAAAATTCCAGCTGTGATTGTATTCTTCCTCTTTGCTAGGGAATTGTGCTGGGAGCCCACGCTGAGAACATTGTATCCTATTCACTGTGGTCCTACATTTTGTCATACAAAAACCCCTAAAAGCAGTTATCCTACTGCACTGTGAAGAGAAGGGGGTTGGGAAATCACAGTTCTGAGAGACAGGTCGTTGTGGCCGTGCTGAGGCTCTGTGCACTTCAGAAAATCAGTCCTCCAAGCACCTTGCACATTCTGAGCTAGAGCAAGTCAGGATCTGCTGCTAGGCCCAGGTGCCATTGAAACCTTGAACAATTACACCAAATAGCTGTAAATATATAAACTCAAAAAAACTTCAAACTCAATTTGCTATTATGAGGATCAGGAATAACAACTGAGAAAAGAGCGAGAGGATACAGTGAAGAGAAGATCAGAACCAGATGCAGACCCAGTGCAGGACCCATAAGCCATTTACATTATTTATATTTCTACTAATGCACATAACAAATCTCCCAATACCTGAATTTAGAACTGTGATTCTGCACACTTCAGCTGCACACTTCAGTGGAGAATACAGGATTTGAAAACTTCTGATAATGTTATTTGGTACTTAGTTATCAAGACATGCATCCATTAATTCCTTAATGAAAGGGACCCTCTTTTGATTGCTGTATAGATTAGGCACTGAATATTTACAGTGTTTCACATGATGAAACACAAATCTATATGACTGAATGATTCCCTGAGAAATTATATTTATTCATAGCATTACTGCTGATTCCAGTAACAGGAATTATTAGTATTATCTTGAACTATCAAGTTGAGGCCTCTACCCTGTGATCAAAAAACAGAATAACTGTATTGTGGAAAAGCTGTGTGTTACACAGTGGTATAAGAAACAGTTTCAAAGAGATTTAAAAAAACCCTCTATAGTAATCTTAACTAGTACTAAAATAGTAACAGATTCACTTAGATGTCCCCTTCCAAATATTAATTCTTTATATATATAATTCCTTTACAAAGTCAAGATTAATTACCTTTATTTCAAAGGTAATGATACTTACCTAGAGAGACTTATGAAGTATTTTTTAATTTCCTGTCATAAAACTGCAAGGGGACTTGTCAAGGATTTCTAGAGCCATGATTTCACTGTAAACAATTTGACTAAGAAACTGTATGAACAGCAATATTTAAATATGTGCAGAGTGTAACATTTAGATAAAACTTTTAAGAGATTTTGTTTTTGTGATACCTAATTCATCAAAGTATGTTTCTGTTCCATCTTCATCCATTACTGAGCACACAAGTCTTGCTTTCAAGAATGTAGTCCACTTGTTCACCAGACTGCGCTGACCACCTGTGTCATTCTGGAAAGGAATATTATTTTCAGAAAAAAAAAAATACAACACAACTAACATTTTACTGGTCTTTTCCATTTTTTTCCTAAAGTTAAATCATCCTCCAGATAATTATCTGGTAAATTTAGTACAAAAGTAGATAGACCTAAACTAAATCCCCTTATCTAAACACTCCATATGCAGAAAAGAACAAAGAACTAGTGCTCTAAAGGGGTGTTTTTTGTAGTCTTGACAGCAGCATAGCTGCACATGACCTGGCACATGAGGTGGATGATCTAAAATCAGAAATGATGGCTAGTGCAGGTCAAGCTAGTTTTGTACTGTTGCAAGTCCTGCTAGCCTGGTCCAGAGCTGGCTTGGTCACAGCTCACTCAAGGATCTTTCCACTTCTCTCTGGTGCAAGGTGGAAACTGTGACTCCCAAACCAGATGGTGCAGCACCAAGGTGATGGATCTGCCTCTTCTTGCTGGTGAATGCCTTAGGTAAGAGCAGGGTCTTATAAACTGCATAGCATGATGTCACCCAAGGAAAGGGAAAAACAAAAAGTTGAAGCTATTGAAATGTGATTTTGATAAAGTGCTGTGCATGTTTCACTGGTGCTCCTAGAGTTGGTAATCCAACTTTTCAGGTGACTTATAAGGAGTCTTTTTGTGGGACCATTTCTTGGTCTTTCTTGGCACCATTTCACTAATATATTTGGCCAGTGTCAAAGGTGTTGAAGTATGAATATGATGGTATACGACTATGCAAATATGACCGGCTCAGATTTATTTTTCATTGTCTTTGGGGTTCGGCTACTGACTTCAGTTAAAGTCTAAACAGGATTAGGCCTTTCAGGAATCATCTGGGCTTCATTATGGGAGTGAAAAAAACAAATACAGCTGTAATTGTGTAAAATGTCTTCTTGCAAAATACCCAAAAAGGCCTTCAGGCATCTTCACGAAAATACAGAGAATGGAGATTATAAAAGAGATCACATGCCCCACAATATTGCCAGAGAAGGAGCTTAGCACAATCCCAAACACGCCTTCAGACCCAGGCACAATAACATCAGAAAGCATTACATTCTAAAGAAGCCTAAATTAAAGTAAACACGCAATTATCTTCCTGAACCTTTCCAAAAGAAGGAATGAACAGGTTAGCAATAATCGTGCATTTATAATTTTTCTCTCATTAAAAAACAGCAATTTCACCAGAGATATTAATAGCTATTTCAATCATTTTTCATCTACAGTTGATTACAGATACAAAAAAAGAAACAGAGACAGTGAGGAGTGCTCTGAAAATAAATTGATTTTTGCTCAGGAACAGTCATAACTTCTCAATTTAATTCTCCTGCGCACATTTTTAAAGTTAGGCTCACACAGGCATCAATGCAAGAACTCAGAAAGAACAGATATTGTAAAAATGAAAACAATATTTGAAAGTTAGATCAACCCATTTAAAAGCTTGATATTTCCCACGTACTTCAAAGGTTTTGATTGTAAGACTTTTTTTTGAGACCTCACTGTTTTTTAGTTTAGTTTTTCTAAGAAAACAATGTACCCTATTTGTGCCAAGGACAGCAAGGTTGAAAATTCAACACTGGTAAGTATTCTGACTCAGTCAGAGAAATACACAAACCCCTGAAACTCTAAATTTTTATATTCTTACAGGTACAGCCTGATATACATAACATGTTCAGACCCTAACTGTGAGTTCAATAACAGCTCTTCTTAATTATGAATGTGGACAGAGAAACAAGAAATTTGTTCTGAATATAAATCAAAGGCTTATCCCAACGACCTGGCAAACAAAATAGTCCTTACTGGGCATATTCTTGCAATCATTGAATGAATCTGCTTTGTGCTGCCGCTGTTGTCTGTGAGTCTCTCTTTGAAGAAGAAGTAGATTTTGGCATCATTGGGGTCAGTGCCATCTGGGATAACATGAGCATCCACAAAAATAGGCTCTGTAATGAAAAAATTTACCGAAAAGATGAAACCAAAAGATGTACCAGAATAAGCAATTAATGATTTGACTGCTTCAAGGAAGCGCTTTATAATGCATACAGAGGTACTGCTGTGGAAGTCTAAGCTATATGCTATAGCTTCATGTCTGTATATACCAAGTATCAGCAGGTAAATGGCTCCTTGCTGGCAGCCATATGTTTTTGCATCTTAGCCTTTTATTCCACAGCAGATTTTCAGAGGAGTGATCCAGAAGCAGTAGTGTTAGGTTACTGCAGAGACTCAAAGACTTTGAGGTAGTAGAGGGAAGAATCTGTGTGTTATTTGGGGCCCCTAAGGAAAGCCTCATTGAGACAAAACATAAAATAAGCTGGAACAGCTTAGGAAAACAGCAGATAAGGTTCATAAATAAGAGAGGAAAACAATTTGTGGAACACAGAAAAGGTAAGCAGGGTACACAAATGCTTGAGCAGCATGTGAGTTTGTATCAGAGGCTGTTAAACATAATCCAATGTGCATGCAAAACACTGCAAAGGAGCACTAGTGGGAGAGCAAAATAATTTATAACCTTAACAGCAAGCATATAATGAACAGTGGAGGAGTCCTCAGAAGACCTTCTCCTTTGCCTGAAAGAAGAAGTTGTCCCTCTCCTTGCACTAAGGCTTTGTCTTTTCAATGATCATGCAAGATTGCTTGTTCAGTTGAAATGCAGCACAAATTTTGAAACAGTCAGATACAAACGTTGGCTGTCTGACAGAAAACTCCCTTTACACAGCAGCATTTTTCTATTCAGATAAGTCTATTCTCAATTAATACAACAAGTGTCATTACTCCAGCTCTAAAAGAACATGGAAAAAACCTGTACTTTCAAGTACCTGTTCTGAACATAGATAACAGGTAGATTTTCCAGAAATTAGGTATTTTTAATTGTTCTTTTTCTCTAATTCACTTTAGGATGCACATGTCAAGGTGTGCAGATAAGTGTAAGAATGTAAAACAAATAGAGGAAAAATTTAGAAAACAGACATAGTTTTCCTATGATTTCACTGTAGTCACAGCCACACAGGAATAACTAAAAAGAGTCACCCTAAAAAATACCAAGAGAAAACCACAGTAACTTTAATTCAACATACCTGAAGGATTTCTAAAATTTTAACTGCTGTGTTAGGTGCTCTATAACCTTTGACATCTACCTCTGCTCAGACGGCTAAGCACCATTTTAATTCAGAAGAGTTTATTTGGAAGGAGATTTCTTACCAGTGAAGACAGGGAGAATTTTCACAGTGATGTCAGTGATGCAAAGAGTTAAGTGCTCCCACTAAGAAATTAATCTCCTGCTGTGTTTAAATAACCAATTCCTTATCAGTGAAATAAGTGGCAATAATCATCACTGACTTCTCTGATAATGAGACACTCTTCTGCACACATTCTGAATGCAAGTGATGGTGAGTCTTCTGCATAGATGTGGATCAGCTTGAGTTAACTGAAGCTGGTAGCTTAGAATCAAACACTCTATTTTAAGGCAGTATCTGATGCATTAGAGGTGAAGGTACTTTTCTAGAATTCAGACTGTCTGACCACTTGCCATTTGAGAGGTTTTTACACACTTTCTCTTGAACAGTTTGGTTCAGTATTAATGCAAAAAAGGTTCCCAGGTGGGTTGGCCTAAGAGGCTGGTGCATGCAGTGAACTCTTTACATCTGTGCATTGTCTACAGCATGTATTTACATACATTTCTTCATGGTTAACTTCATAAATTAAATTAGGAGAGAAGCTCTTTAAAAGATAAGCTCTTTATTTTCAGCAAAGCAAAGCATAATCTCTGTGGCATCCATTAAAAGATCTGGTAAAACAAAGGCATCTCACCACTCAGCCACTTGGAGTTGTGCTGGTCAGTTCTCACTGCATTCCTCCTGGTCAGACTCCGAAAAATGGCTGCATCCGTCCCCATGAAATCAATATACATTCCTGAAAAAAGCTCTTCATCTGAAAAGAAGGGAAATGGAGGGGAAAAACCCAATGCATTTTTACGGCTTTTGGGAAACCCAAAAGTTTATTTTAAATTCATCAGTTCTTTATTTACACAGGAATCTATACAGGTAAATAGTGGGTCATGGGAATGGGGTTTCCTCTGATTTACAAAGACGCAAACTAGAATCAGATTTTTCTTAAAGACTTTTAGGAAACTGCATCATTAAATGCCACAGCAGAGCTACATACATGGTGAACCTTTCTTGATAGGAAGTTTAGTTGCTCTATTTCCCCTGCTAGGGATCACTGGAAAATCAGACTAGTGTTATCAAAGAAGTATCACATCCAATTTTTTAAGTACTCACTTCAAATAACTTTTTTTTGCTGTGGAAGTAGATGAAGTGACTGGGTTGAATTTATTGCTGTTGTAAACTGGCACAACATCTGTTGCAGTCGGTGGATCAGTGCCAATTTTTACCAGCAGTATTGTCACAGCTGCCCCAGGCAGCCTCAAACTGACTTCAGTATTGCAGAGGCCAGACAATCATATTATTGAACTTTACTCAAAGTAATAGGGAGCAACAATTATCCCCTTTTGTGTGCTTGATTCTAAGTATAGGGTCATTACACTTGAACAGAATTAGACACGCAACTCCCACATTTACAGAACTATGAACTTCTGCTCCCTGTGCAGGGCTGAACACACAGTCCATCAGTCATGATTTGTATCTGCATTTGGTTTAGTCCATGCGTGTGCATAAACACATGTATATATAATTATAATTACATATGCTATCATTTTCTCCTCCATGAATAACCACGCAATTTCCACTGACTAATGACAATGAAACCCCAGAGCAGAAAACAGTAGCTAAAATAAACTCTAACTCTGAGGGTGGGAGTGGTGGCTGAACACATTCCAGTACAGCTGGGTCCTTTGATTGATGTTTTTGTCTGAATTCCTGGACTACCCAGAGAGTGTGGTCAAGCTGGCAAGAGTCACAGGTTCAGAAGTGCTTGAGGCTATTTTCATGCTCTGTGTGTGTGTGTTCACACATCAATATAGAAGATTATTGGCTCACGAGAGAATTACAACTGGAGATTTTGCTTTTCTGCTGCTACTGGAGCCTGAACTGAACCCCTGTAGAGCATCCAGCAGCCACTCTTCTGCTTTCACCTCTCCCAGTGATGACAAGATTCATACACAGGGGATTTAAACAACGCATTCGCTGCATGTTGGCGAAGCGTTTACTTCCTCGGCAGGTATTGACAGAATGATGTTGGATACATACACATTTATAAATGAATTTGCATATTTGCCTCCTTGTTTCAATCCATCAGTACTTCATGCTTAGTATGAAATAAATTAGCTGAAAGAGATCACGCTTATGCTTCTTGCTAAATATTATTCACAGTTCTGTGCACATACACATCTGTACACACTGTAACAATAGTACTATGCTATGTAATAATAATCCTATTATGTATCAGTGCTATTAGTTATGTCTTAAGCATTCCTAGTGTCTGCTTGCTAATCGTGTATCAAATGAAATCCCTAAGTTCCACTTCCTTCTGGTAAAATCCTTACATTCCACACAGTACTTGGTCTGCATAGAACAATAAGTTCACACTACTTCACTTTGTTACTGGGGGGAATTACTGAGTTGATGAGTCTTGGTGGGCAGAGAGACATACATCCTCCACATCATTTATGCCAAGCTGTTTCAAAGCACATTTTTCATTGCTTTGATGCAAATGTTTCTTTGTATAATGACAAATTGTATGAAGTTCAAATTTGTTTTTATAGCACCACTTTCCTCTGAAAGGTGAATCATCTTTCCTGCTGTATTCTAGGCCAGTGATGCCCAAAATGGTCGCATCTATATTTAAAAATGGTTCTTCCATTTTGGAAGAGCTAGCCTGTCTGGTGGTATTTCCTATCTTCTGAAAAAAAGGGAGGGAATCCCTCCTGCAGGATATCCAAAGAAGAGTCCAGTACATGGGCTCGGTTCTCTCACTGTAACACAAACTGTGACTTACAAAATGTTCCCTTTTCTAGCCTGGATATAAGGCTTAATTCATTAGAGTTTAATGGTTTTGAACTGACTGGACTTTGTAGTAGCAGGGAGAAATATAAAACCCAAACTGTGGGACTCTTTCTAAAAGGAATATGACCTTTGTGGAATAATTTAAACTTTGTAGATGAACTATGTCATGAAAGCTAAGTAAAACACTAGGGAAGGTCTCTTCAGTCCCATAACTGAGATATCAAGGAAGTTAACAAAAAGTCTATTAAGATGAACAAAGCTGCCATAGATCTACTGTAGGAAAAAATCAGCTTACTGTACAGACAGTAATTCAGAAACAATGTACTTTAATGGAGCTACATAAAATCTAGGAGGAACAAGGAAAGAAAACTGTAATTTTTTTATGACAGTTGATTCACTTAATAATACCAGAAAAACAATGAGTAGCAGAGGCCTCATCAATCACTGACTTTGAACAAACATTTTCTTTACACAGTGACTGTCTGTAAACGCTGTCCCTAGATCACTGATGAGATAACAGTGTAAGTATAGCCAAGGTTCAGAGGGACATCTAGGAAGCATTTACCTGTTCTCTAAAGGTGCTTTAGTTCATGTATCTGTGAATAAATATATTTGTCCTTTGTACTAAATATATTTCCAATGGAAAAATAAAAAAAGGCAATTTATATTTTGAACAGACCACACAGGATAAACTATACGACATTTCACTTAAGATCCATGAGACTGAAACTTTAAAGGAAATATCTGGCACAATATTTAATTGCCATTGATTTCAGTGGAAGCTGAATGGCAGAAACATGGCACATTGTTCCCTTGTAAACCTTGGGTGAAATAAAGTCTGAAAAATCTGTGCAAATGCTGTTCCCCTCAAAGCCAAAAATACAGCAAGGAGTAGGCACATGTTGAAAAATCAAGGCTTTGGCACTGTAAGTCTGTGAACATGATGCAAATGTGAAAGGTCAGGTTACACAGAGTATATATAACATGCTTCCTGGTTGGAAAAAAAAAAAAAGTATCTTTTACAGATGACTTAGGTTCCACAAAGCATATGCCCCCCTTGAGTTTTCTCTTAGGTGTTTAATAAGCACAGCACAGATCCTTTGTCTAGGCTATATCTCACAGTCAATGAGTACAGCTGCCACCAGTTCACAGGAATATTTGAGGAGTGGCAGTTGTATCACTTTCCAGCCTTTCAAATGGAAAAAAATTGCAAAATTGGTTGGGTATAAAGCCAATTGAAGAATGAAGAGCCTTGCAATAACTGGTGGGCTCTACAGCAGAGATGACAACAAAAATGAAATTCACAGCATCTAAAGTCTTCAGGCTTTCTTTCCCTAGCTACTCTGAGATTTTACAAATAATTAAATGAGACACAAGTTCCGTCTAGGATGAACAAGGTCAGAAACCATTCAAACATAAATGCTAGACAGGGTAATGTAAAGTTGAAACTAACCCTGGGAAAAAATGTGTAAGCTGGAAAAGAGACAACCCTTTGTTTTCTCTCTCTTTCCCTTTCAAAAATGTCTTTCTGCATTTCATTTGTCCACCCACCTTTAGTTTCATGTAAGCCTTGAAACAAGGAAGGACTCAACCCTTGTGCTCATCAGCCATTCAGGAGGCTGAATTCTGTGTCCAGCTCCTTTTGGGCACTCTGTCAATCCTCATGACCACACATGACCATATGGGTTTAGACCTCAGCAACTTGGAGCATCTTTACTTACTGATCATAACAGACACCGTGTTCACGTTGGGGTTGAAAGAACAGCGTCCTTTTCCTGATTCACACTTGGAGTCGATCTTGAAGATCTGTTCCTGCAAAGTAGAATTATGTGTCACTTCTCATTTCAGAAACCATCAGATAAGACCATTTTTATGCCCGGCTGTTTCAAGCATTAAAAATGCTCTATTAACACTGCACTATTGGGTACTTTTACTGTACTATCAGCAGTTTAACTTTCCTATTCATAATTCCACCATCTTTTTAGATAACATTTTCACTGATACCAGTTATTTTCAAGACTCTTGTTATAAATTCAAGACACTGAAACAAAGGATTTTTCCCTCTCAATTAAGCTATGGAGAGGTTGACTGATCTCTGCAATATCATCTGTGGAGACTGCTTCTGTGTTTTTCAAGTTATTTAACATTTATTTGCTGAATACATGGTATACTTATACCAGTCTAGGACATTATAATAAAAGTTACTAGAACGATAATAACAGTTATACATATTAAATAAAAATCTCTTATGGCAACTGTAATTTGATGATAGTATAAATCATTTGGTCTTTCCTGATCTATCAAACACCCAAAAATTCCCTAAATCACACTTATTTTCTTCAATACCATCTCTTGGATTATGTGTAGAGCTCCAGTTCCATAGTGATAGATCATTATAGCCTGAAATCCCTTGAATTACTTTTTTTCTGTTTAGAAATCATGGTATGGGGATTTGTTTATATTTTAATGCAATTTATGAGACTGGATATGGCACTTAGTGCCACAGTCTAGTAACCTCAGTGGCAGTGGATCAAGGGTTGGACTTGATGATCTCAGAGGTCCTTCCAACCTGGCTGATTCTATGACACTATGATTCTGTGATTCTATGAACAGGGGACATATTTAGCAAAATAGATGAAACATAGACTACAGCTTGAAGTACAAATAATCTGAGTATCTTTAGAATATTTGCCCATCTTGGTGCAACTCTTCACTTCTTGGTTCCCAGCAATACTAGCACAGTGCGCTGAGCAAGAAGTGACTCATGTCCAATCCTGTTCCTTAAAAACTGCAGTCACTAAAGACAAAGACACTGATCCACTACACATCAACTAACATACCACTGTATATCAAACATCTTGTTCCTAGGCTCCTGTAACAAAACTTCTAATCTTTAATAAAAAGACAAAAGACACAGTTGCAAGAAAAAACAACCAACCAAACTTAAAAATTTTCAGAATAAAAAGGTAGCTGACAAAAATTCCACAGAAGGGCTTCTGTGATCTAGATGCCAATATATTTAGTTATTTGACAAAGGACAACAACCCTTTATATTCTCTTTAACAGTTAATGTAAATCACAGGGGAAGGGGAGTGCCACACAAATCCCTGAGCAGCCATTTGGCACCAGCAAATTGGAGATTCCATCAAGCTCAAATGCACAGCTGCAGCAGGAAGTTTTCATATCCATTATCCCCTCTCTCTCTGCCCTCTTCTGTTTTGCCTCATTTAATCACAGAGATCTTATCTATTGTTTCAGTAATAAACTCTCTAAACAATGTTATAACATAAGTATAAAGTTTATAACATGATCTTGGGTGGCTTTTTGTTGTTGTTTCACTTCTAGATTAATATGCAGTTTGATTTTAATCCATATTTACTATATTATACCACTATTTACCAATTCAAAACACCCAGTACTGCTCTAATAAAGTAGCTCTAGGCTTACACTTGATTTTCATATATATTAAACTACTTTTTAGTCTATAATTATGTCACATAGGATTACATTTCCTTATGTTTGCATTTACTTTGACATTAGAATATATTTGGGTGTCTAAGGGAGAAATTACCAAAGAGCAAAGTATCAAGTGTGCCAAGGAAGAAAATTAATTGTTGTATAACCTCTGTTTCAGTGAAGAGGGAAAAATTCTGCCTCATCAATGAACTCCCCTTTTTTGTGAGATTATGTAGGATCTGGAGACAAAAGAGCAAAACAGACCCAGTTCTTATGATTGTTGGATATGACTCTGTCAGGCTTTGTAGCTTCTAGAAAAAACAGATGTGCTTTGTAAAATATTAATTTTGCATGTGCAAAAACAGCCTACTGTGCATGGAAAACTGTACTAAATTAAAGGTGAAATGATAAAAGCAGAGAAAAAATGATTTCTCACTAGTCCCATCAGCACTACATAGCTCTTAATTCTGCTCTATTAATTAGTCATGCACAGATATATGCAATGAGTTCAGAAGGAAATTCTTGGTTCCAAACTGTTATGCTATTGTTGGCCTGTACAATAATGGCTTTGAGCGTGCAATGCCTACAGTCAAGTGTCTCACAGACTCCAGACGTCTCAAACAGCAGTTTATTTAATCAATTGATATAGGCATGTAGCTATACAGACAGGCTAAGTGAAGCCAGTTCTTTTCCAAATCACGTATCTTTACTTTTCATTTAAGCAATTTAACATATTGCATCATCTGGAGATGTCGTTTCCTGCATTCCCCTCTGTTCCAATCTCATTTTAAAAAACTCTGAAATAATGCAATTCAAAGTTCTCTGGGCTGCAGCTTATGATAATAAAGTAATATTATATTAATTAGAGACAAATTATATCACTTTTTGTATTTTAGATAATTTCTCATGAAATCAGATGATGCTGAAGAAAGGTGACCCCTGTTCCAAAATACATCAAAATAAGTTAATGCCGAATTCATCAATCAGAGGGATGGAGTTACTTAGTTCTGTATGCTCACACTTTTAAATCCAGGCCTACAAATCTCTACTTCTGGATAATTTATTAGGACTGGAGGTGCAGTGATTCAGTCTGCATACTCTCTAAGGAGGCTGGAGCCAGGTACGGATCTACCAAAAGTCGCTGAGATCATTCTGTGCAAACCGATCTGGAGAGGCATTGACTTATCACCTCCCTGGCAACCTATGCAGTATCTTGGGTCTTGGCCAGAATTCCCATCCCACTCCCAATTAAATCAGTGATGAATTTCCCTATGTCTTCCCAAGAAGCCAGCCCAGCTTTTAAAGCTGCCCTTACATGGCAAGACTCCAGGTAGGACACTCTGATCTTCCTTCCCAACACATCTGCTTCCACATTGTTCAGGAAAATATACTGCACACCCCTGTGCCTCCAGACATGAATCTGACCCTAAAGCTACTGAGGTGCTGCCTCTTGATAAGTGCCTTTCTTTTTCCTTCTCATTGCTTAATTTATTACCTATTACATTTGCACACAAACAAACATTTCACATTCAGATCAGGAAAACTGGACCATATACTTCTGAAACATCTGGTACTTTGTATATTGAAAATGCACAGTGAAACTGCATACCGAAAAACTGGAGACTCATCTAGAAAAAGTAAGATCTCACAGTGAACAGAAACTTTCCTACTTCATCTGGGCAGAATCTAGTGAGGCAAAACTTGTGCAGTAGATGAAGGTCCTGTACTGGGATTGCATCTAGTGGGTGTTTAGCTGAAGTTCAGCAAACTTTCGCATAACTGAATAGTTATCCAAACTAAGGGCTTCTCCCAGGCACCAGTAACACATGGAAGCTATAAAAAGTGGACTGTATATTTTACTGGTTAGTTCCTTTCAAGTATTTCTTGGGCATTTTCCCACAAAATGGTAGGAGTGAATTCACCAGAAAATGTTAAATAAAAAGTAGTATCAAATGTAGCCCAGCATTTGGTATGACTGTAGAATTTTGGACAACCATCGTATTTCAGGCATGGTTTTTGATAATAGTTTTGCTTTTAGCTGGTAGCACATAGAAAACTGTGTACCTTTGCTCTTTTGCTGTTTAACAAGGGTGAATGAACCTATTCGGATCACCAATTTTTTTTTTTTTTGCATTTTCAATATTTCAAGTTTTCACATCACACTAGTAGGATGCACCACAAGAAGGAGTGGATAAAATGAAATGAGACCCACCTCAGACCTGCGTCCCCTGTTGACATACACGCACACGGGGCTGAAGGCGCCGCTGCCGCAGACGTACAGGTGCGTGCGGTTGTACGACTGGATCACACGCACAAAATTTCCACAGCCATGCTGCAGGAAGTACAGAGAGCAGTAATTTCACACTGGTAAATGTTACTAGATGTTGAGAACTCTATGGGAGAGACATGATTTACTACTGCATCTGAAAACTGGTGCTCAACCGGGGTCTTCAGACTGCGGACAGTGGGTACCACCCACCTTCAGAGTCTGTTCCTGGGGTGAGCAGCCAGCCAGAGCACTTCCCCACTCCAAAGGGCAGCTCACTGGTTGTTCAGCATCACCCCAGGACATATCTGGAAAAGTACTATTACCTGGTTTGATTAGTAACAACAACAAAAGAATGAGGAAGTGGACACTGCATATCTTTTCCCATCTGTCAAAGTCTGAAGGTGCATTTTATTTACGTTGCCTGTTTCTCCAGAATTTCACGTTATAGATAGGTTTGCAAAGCATTTCGAAAGCAAAACAAACACTTCTTTCATTTTGCTTTGGCTGCACTCAAGGTGCTCTTACTTTATTGCCAAGTATGTAATTTGTGTATATGTGTGCATGCGGACTATAACTTACCGTAGGATCTTTGCCAGCCATTTTGCACTCTTCAACCTTGTTTGCTGATGCTGGCCAGGAAATCTGTAAGGAAAGAAGTATAATTCAAGTAGCACACTTTTTACATAATTTAAACAAAACATTTCACTGCCTAACTCACACTAATACGTTAATATTTGGATATCTTACACTTTGATTATAAGGGAAAAAAGGGATTTTCATTGATATATGAAAATATCTTTGTCTTAGCATACAGAAAACAAAAAAAAGGTCCTGGTCTTCAGCTCTAAGTTTATTACATATTTTTAAAGTAAGTTAATTACTTTATTTAGATTTTTTTCTTCTAAATATGAGAGATTTTTCACCTTTATTGCCTAAATTACTATCTTTAATTTTTTACTTTTACTGAACTTTCAGAAATTATGCGCACTGGAAAACAGAAGGCTAAAACAGTGCAAGAATAGTTCTTGCAAAAATTTTTTGATTTTAACATCAAAAGTTCAGATTGATTACGATATACTCTGCTTGAAATCTCAGGATTTCAGACTGATTTCGTTCACACAGTTTTCCAACAAACACCTCAATGTCTGAATGTTTATCTGTTTTATAATCAAACTCTAAATATTTTGAGCTTCTTCCCTTATTTATTTTTATTTTGAAATAGAAAAGACATCCATTTGGAATTTATCCCTAGAGATCTAGTAAGTGACAGAGCCTGATAACATTTAGCCTCAAGGTAACATAAACAACAGCTTTAAAAGATCTCTGTTTATGTACATATATACAAACATATGCAGAACTGTGGATTTGAATGCATATATGTACAGGATTTCTACAGAGGTATAAGATCAGCAAAGTGAATCTTCTGTAAAAATAAATAAATAACTAGAATACTGTGTGGAATTGCAGAGATTCATTCTGAGCCTAATACTGGGTGCCCACACTCACTGCCAGAAAACTTTGCGTGCTTTTCCTTTCTGTTGACTTTTTTTATTCTTGTTTTTCGAAGCTGTTGAAATGCCTCACAGCTTTATACTGCAGAAAATATTTCCTGCAAGAGAGATCTTCCTATCAGAATTAAACTGGACCTGCCATAGGCAGTAGGGAGTGTGCCACGAGGGAGCACAGCTCCTCCCAAACAGGGGTGGCTGACACTGGGGAGCTGGGACTTAGCAAAAAAGGTCACAGAAGCTATCTCAGATTAGAGAAGGCAGCCCCATTTCAGAAGGAGATTTTGGTACTGTAAGAAGGAGGGAAGGATGTATTCACGCCACTGAGCGAAAGGCATTTAATTTAAATGTGTAAGTTAGAGTGAGCCTCCCCGGGCTCCCTGCAATCAATTCAGGTAGACAGGCATGTCCAGAGGGTGATTCAGAGCAAAACCTAATTTAACTATGCTCCATCACCCTCTGGCAGGGACCCTCTCTCTCCCCTGACACATTAAAAGCCTTGTCTCTCAAGGAAAGCATTTATCTTCCCTGCTGCAAGCTGGGTATCGCTGCTCCTCAATCCTTCTGAGGTACAGTAATAGAGCCCACAGATTAAAGGATTGAATGGATTTGGTGGAACAAGGCCTTTATGGTACTTTTTAAGGCAGTGCAGTAGCTGTGGTAGTCTAAAGATAGGCAAGAAAAAGTCTGTAGAGAGGTAACAGCTTAAAGTCAAGCTTCTGGGCAGACAAGTACTTCTGCAGGTCACCTATTTCAAAAGCAGAAAAAAACCCAAATGAGGTGTCTCAGCTACCCAACTGAAGGGCATGGGCTCACAAAAGGCATAACAAGAGACTGGAAAATAGTTCAGCAATTAGGCTCCAGAGTACAAACCAAAAATAAAAGTAGTTGAAGATTAAAGGCAACTCAGACCTTGCCTTTTTCCCTATGGCCTGAGAATGACACATGTATCTTATTACTTGCAGGCTCCTTTTAACAGTGCATCTCTGAACTATCTTATCTAAGAGAGGAGTGGAAAGTAGCAAACCATACAAATTTTCCTTATGAGGCCAGGCCAAGCTAAATGTTGCTTCAAAATTAGTAAACAGGTCAGTTTTAAACAGTGTTGGAGGAACAGCTTTGTCTGTGTTACACGTGAAACAAGGACTAACAGTTCAATAAGGTGTAGGCGTGGACTTTCATGCAAAATAATGAAATGTGTGGGTTTTTTGTCTTAAAAACAAAGGCAAGTAATAAAGCAACCTCGGATTCTCAAAATAAAACTAGAACTTACACTGAGAGGGTCCTGGCTTATATTGTTAATATTCAAAGACAGAATATGATCTTTACTGCCCACATAGATCCGATCCTGATCTTCATCCATTAATAATATCCGGTAATCCAGGGGACTGTGGGATATTCTGTGATATTCAGAGGTCTTAGTTTCTTGCAGCTCTGAAACAGTAAAGACAGTTACTTAGTAAACAGGTTCAGTTCCCTTTTTTGCTTCTCAACTGCATTTCTTTCCAAATAAAGACATCTTTGGACATAAATGGGGTCAGTAAGAGAAGAAAAATCCTCTTAAGGCACTAGCTAGTAATACAGTGGTTGAGTTAAAACAAACTTTTCCCAGTTTGAATACAGTTCTTTTGTACATTAAGTAGATAAGACATAGCTCATAAAAATCAGGCAATGCTGTTATTCATTCATCTAATTAATTCTTATTTTAATGGATATAATTATTTACAGCTTTGGCTTTTAAGGAAGATAATTTATTAAATTAGTCAATGTGTTCAATACATTTTAAAGTTTATGAGTGCAGAAAATCCACAAGATCAATGAAAACTACGCAAGAACAGTTTACTTTCTTTTCTTAACCGAGGGCTTCAATAAGAATAGGATTTTATCATTTTCAAGGTCATATTTTATTGGGTTCTTCATTATCATGCACGGCTTACTTAAAAATAAAACTACTCAGTCAAGCCTAAATGTGTCCCTTTGTTTGTTTAAGGGCTTTGGACCAAACTACCAGAACTACCAGAACTACAGAACTAGCTCTATTTTTCAACATAAAACTCTCTTCAGTAAAGTGAAGTGAAAACATCCTTTGATCTCAGTAGTGCAGGATCAGGCCTGTAACAGGAATAACATAAGCATCTGCAATATAAGTATTACTTGCTGCCCTCAAGAAAGCTCAACCTTCCTGTCTTTGCTTGGCCAACATATTTTGGCCCCACTCAGATTGCTTTACTTTTCAGTAATAACAGAAGGGATATTTCTCAAGAGCTGAGAATGAAAAAATAAAACCTTAATAATCGATTTGTCTTTATTAAAATATTTAACATATAATTATGGCTTCTTACTTCATGAACATCAGCATTGAACTGTGTTCCCCATGACACTAAAAGGGTGGCAAATACACAGCACATATGAAGACGAGGCTCTGCTATAATGTTTATTCATAAATCTAAGAACTGAGTCCACAGTTCTTAGTTGCAAACTTTGTCTGGGACAATATGGTTTGTCACTGTTCCTAAAGCTTAGTATTTCTAAAAGCAACGTTTTTGCTCATTCGTTACCTATAGGAAACAGTAGATCTCTTATACAAAATTACTAATCTAAAACTATTGTTATTTTGGAAAACAGAACTCTCAAAACAAATATTTTTGGATATGTGCGTTGTTAGAAAAAAAAAAAAAAGTGTGCTAAAAAATGTGTTCCTAAGTATGCAGCTTCTGTAAAATCATATTTAGCTGAAAGCATAATTTTTTTTTCTGAAAATTATTTGGAAAGCAATTTTTAAAAGGCAAAGCCTGAAGGCCTAGGATTCTATTAGATATCTAAAGATTGAAAAAATATCAGAATATAATTTGCACTGATAAATATGATACATGGCTCCATTTAATTTTTATCATGATTGTTAAATAGTTTCATAGGAAGATGGAAAATCTCCTCAGATACTGAAAGATGTTGGTATTTTGACTGACTCAGGTGTGCAACAGCTTTCAGGAGCTAAATTGCCTACATGCATTTATTTATGGTAATATTAAAAAAAAGTACAAATAATATTTCTATTTCATATGTCCCTCAACAAAAGATAAACATACAAGATTTACAATCTATGCCTAAAAGCTTAAACTGAAACACTGCTTGTTAAATATACATGAAAACTGTCCACAGCACTCTCAGAAGTCTTTCTTCACTGCTTGAAAAATCAATTGTTTTACTTCATTTAAAAAACCCCTCCTTGTAAGCTTTTAGGTAGGATTTTCAAAGGCACCTGGGAGACTCACCAGCATAGTGCCATTGACACACAGTACCTTTGCCCGCTCTGAAATTCTCAGACTGACCTTTTACAACCAGCCTGAGAAGTCAGTGTTCATCCCTTTTCCTGGTGGCATTATTAACTTGACCACACTATTTGGCAGCTGTAAGGTGAAACTGAAGTTTCTTATAACTGCACATTTGATATTCTAGGAAAGCACGGATAAACTGGGAGAGTTTCCTGCCCAGCATAGGGTAGATGTGATCACAATGATTGCACAAAATAATGTCCTTCCTTATCGTGACTGACGGTGGTTGACAGTGAAAACACTGAGACTGACGTAAAAGTTAATCATAATCATGACAACTGTTTTTAAGCAAGAGACAAAACCAGTGACAGCTACTTGATTTCCATGATTTTCACTTATTAAAATCCATTATTTTCTTTGAATTGTAACCTCTTTGAAATATCAAGGCTCCTGAAGGGTAATCTGTCTCCATGAAGTTGCTGATGAGCAGAACACCTTATTACACATTACTAGACTATGGAAATTCAATGCCATTCATAAGAGGAAGGAAAGCCATGAAACAAATACTTTCATATAGATTTATTAGTTTTATTTTTTTTAGTGCCGAACCTTACAGTTTATTAGACTCTTCGGGCTACTCAAGCAAGGGGTGAGGGAATTTGTAACTAATCAAATTTTCTTTTCATTTAACAAAATTTGCCACACAATCACCCAAGAAAATTTGATTTTTTAAAGATTTACTGTCTGTGTGTTATTACTTGGAAAAAGCGGTTGGTGGAAAGATGCTGTATGGACTTCCACACTCCTTTTCATCTCCAAGTTTTTGTTAAAAAATCAAGAAAACATTTACTGACAGTCAGAGCAAATTCCGTTCCATATTTTGGGAATAAGACCAAACACTGAAAGCAGTAAACCCTACATCAAGAATGATGCAGCAGACAGCTCTCTGAATATTAACAATTTTGTTTGACAATAAAACAATATGCAAGTAACTTTCATCCTTAATAAGAGAAGAATAATCTTTTCTCATAATTTTTTTTTCATCAGTCAGTGAATTTATTTTTGCCTTTCCTCAGGGAGAAAACCAATAACAACTGGATCCCTAGCGTAAGAAATCTGATCTTAGAGGACAGGTTATTTTAATGAAAAGACAAAAGCCTCAGTGAATTCTCTGTACAGAACTAATGCATTATTGAAATGCACATTCTGGAGATCCCATTGACCAAGAATTTCCTCTGCAAACAGTGCAGAGCTTACTGAAAATTAGACAGTTTAACACCTACTCTTTAATTATCCTGCTAATTCACCACAAAAAAAAAAAAAAAGAACTAATGCAAGCATTATTTTTAAAAAGTATGTTCTCCCAGAAAAAATAAAATATTTCTGCAATATGTATTATTGACATCACAAAAGCCTTTGTAACACAAAACTCAATATGTTGGCCAGAACAAAACAAATTACATTTATTAGAGACTGGGAATCCATGAAGGTGTAGTTATATCACACAGCTTGTTATACCAAAATTGTCCAACTGGCATAAGGATATCTGAGCTAGATCGAATCATCAGGTAATCCTCCAAATGTCTTATTTAATCACTCAACATCAATCTTTCATCACTCCTTAATTCAAATTCACTGGTATCATAGCATTGAAAACAGTGTGATTCCCCTAGCCTAAGGAATATAATAATCCCTAAGATGTAAGATAAAACCCTAATACAAGCAGCTTCCCTGGTGGACATCTTATACTAATATGGATGTTTGATGCACACATTACTGAAATTTATACATTTTTCAGCAGGACCTTCCCAAAATACGATTATTTCCTATTTGCAGACTCACATAACCACTTATTACTGAAAGGTTCAACATAACCAAGAATTATCTTTACCTTCCAGGGTTTCGTAAGCTACAGCCTTGGTATGCAAGCATCCCCAGCCCAAGTTCAAAGCAATGAGTTTATCCACTGATAAACTATGGATAAACTGTGGCACGTGAGAGAGTGCATGCAGTTATTCCTGCACTTTGCCACCCCTGGATTTCCAGCCTAGGAGGGCTACTTTGAGAAAATCTAGGATCTTCTGTGGTAAAGTACAGGAAATAATATGCTTTTCTCCTCTTTCCTGCTGGCATAAGGATTCAGTCTCAGAAGGTTGTTTCTGGGGAAGTTCAGAGAAGAAGCAGAGATTTGGTGCATGTGCCTCAAAACCAAGCAGGGAATAAAGCACAGCAATCCCTTCACAGTGAAGGGCATTAACACAGCTTTCTAGGAAGATGGGCTATTTCCCCCCAGGGAACCCCTGCTGCCCACACTGGCAAGGATTTTATGGAGCCTTAGTGATTTGGAAGTCAGCAATACAACGAATGCCATTTTATTTTAGGTTCTCATGGGGCCTGGGGTGCACAAATGACACACCTTGTGTACACCCAGCAGTAGGCTCAACATTAGCATCTAGTTATAGAGACTGTAAGACTCTCTCAAGGCTTATTAAGCCTTGAGTTTGTGCCAACAAATATGCCAGCCCAAGCCAAATATGAAACTGCAATGTAAAATCTCACCTTCTAGGAACTGGAATGAAACCAAATTTATTTTTCTTTCTTTTTTTTTTCCTTCTCTCTCCTAGAAATAAATACTTGGGTAGAACAGGATTTTTGCTTATAGTGTCAGATGGAAATGGTCCCCTTTTACTCACAGGTCACGTTTAAACAGGCAAAAAACTAATCTGGTCATATAAACTTAGACACAGTACATAATATTGCTAGCGTTGAATGAAAAATGGGAGTGGAATCTGAGGTATCTGCAAAGCTACCAAAAATAATTAAAAAACCCCCAACAAAACAAAACAAACCCTTCAGCCAGAAGAAAAGGTCTGGGGTTTTTAAAAATATTTTCCTTTCTACTTTGTATTCATTAACTTCCCTATTTTGTAACTTATTAGTAGAAATGACTGTAAAAGATCTAGTTAAAATGCATTAGATTTCATAAGAACCTGATTTTAATTATTGGTTTTTTGCCCTTATTTCTATTTTTTCAGTGTAAAGACAAGGAAGAAATAAATGTATTGATTTTTTTTTAGTTTACACAGTGCTTGTAGAAATAGTATGCTATGTATAATATTGCTTTCTAGGATACAATTGTCATTTTTTTTTTAATTTTATGTA